TTTATGTACTTCTCAGAAATATACTTAAAATTACATTCTATACTTAGAAAAAGTCTAAATATATTTGAGCGATACTTGTGCTTCGGGAATCCATGTTTTCATTGTTATCCGGTAGGGGGCGCTATTACACGCCTTCTGTACAGAATTTCCAAAACACAAGCGAAGAAGAAACCAAAACAACAGATGCTTCCACATGTAATCTAACACGATCAGGGGCCTGTACCATGATGGTAGTTGAACAAATACAGAGCTACAGGATTAGTTTCGAGTTGACAAAACCAAACCACTCCAATCCGGCTTTGTTGGTACCATGATGCTGATCATCAACTTTCTTTGTCAACTCAGGCTTTGATCCTGAGTTTGTGGAGCATGTGTACATGAATGCATGACATCACTGGCAAGCCTTGGTTAAAGGTTAAGGTTTTGCTAAAGGTTAAGAGATTGAAGAATATGATGAATTTAAATGCATTTACAATGAAAAAAGTACTTGTTCATGAAAGAGGACAAATAAAAGAAATGATCTTGCTTTATCAGTGCAGTCACAAGTGAAACTTGTTATATACAGCGATAATATAAATCATATAAAATAACTAAGTAATTATCATTAAACCCAGACAATTATTATTATTTTTTTTTAGTACTAGTGACCTTTAATTTGGAGCAAGAGAAACTGGGGGAGTGACTTTTTTGCGTCAGACATGTGTCACTTTGCTCACATCTGATTGGTCCAATTTCAGTTTGAGATCTCTTACCCAGAACATAACCTGCCCCGGAGCAGGTTAGCCGTGGAGTGTAAGTTACCATGGCAATGAAGGCCGTTAAAAGCCAAGCCACCTGGCTAGCCAGCTAATATGGCTTCATGGTACAGGCCCCAGACATAAAGCAGCATCAAAACTGTGTAAGGTTATGGAATAAAATGTCGACCCATGAATAGGTAATGACTGTCAAGCTTTGGGGTGTTGATCGACTCCATCAACGTTTTGATTATCATTCTGAATCCAATTCATAATCTTTTATCAGCTTTTTGTTCAAAATGTTATTTATTTATTTGATTTTTTTAATGAAACTTACCCACATTCAAGTGTTTATAAAAAATAATGCATGAAGCTAGAATAAAATGTTTTTGTTTACCGTTTTTTTTTTCATGTTTGTATGTTCAGATATTCATATAACTAAATATATACAAATTAATACCTAAATAGAGACATAGTAGTATACTTAAAGTATGATGTAAAGTTCACTAAAAAGAAAACTTACGAGTATACTTGCAGTATAAAACTACTAAACTAGTACTTTCTGAGACTATACTACAAGGTTTCAGTAGACCTATAAGTTCACTTTTAGTATAGCTGCAGTACAAACTAAAACATAGATGCAAACTAGTTGTGTACTCAAAGTTTACTACATGTTATACTTAAAGTATACTTAAAAGTATACTAGAAAGTGGGCCAATTTAGTCCCAAGGAGTATTGAAATAGTACACTTACAAGTATACTACTAGTACACTGATATTTGTATACTTACTACATAAGTATACTTAAAAATATACTTGAACTTAAGTATACTTAATAAAATAAACTTGAAGCATACTTCATTTGGGTAAGGGTATTTGAATTTAATTTTGCATTTCAGGTCCAGAATGTAGTTCTGCAGATGTTTGTAAACAAAGATCTCCACCCAGAGCTGCGCATGGTCTCGTGGATTGTGCTTTTTGAGACAAAGCCAAGCATGGGTCTGGTTATTACTCTTGCACGTGCTCTACAGAAGGAACCAAATCTACAGGTGGCCAGTTTTGTGTACTCGCACATGAAAGCCTTGACAAAGAGCACACACCCTGAGTTTGCTCTAATGTGAGTTTATGCTAACAAAAGCCAAAATATGTTCCAACATATTGATGTTTAAAACTTCAACATCGACAATCCACCTTGGTCTTTTTCAGTGCCGCAGCCAGCAGGGTTGCCATCAAGATATTAAGCCCAAAACTGGACAAACTTAGCTTTCCTTACAGCAAAGCATTTCTCTTGGATGGTTATGAAGGTAAGAAAGTTCTGTTGATCTCCAAAGGTGTTGCATTCCAGGTGATGGTTTCCTCTAAAAAACTTACTGATTAGTTCCGTTGTTTAGATCCTCTCATGGTAGGTGCTGCCGGTAGTGCTTTCATCATCAATGATGCTGCCACCATCCTGCCCAGAGCTGTAGTAGCTAAAGCACGTGCTTACCTGGCTGGAGCTGCTGCTGATGTTCTTGAGGTGAGTAAATAAGATACAGGAAAATATAGAGTACTTCTTTATTTCATTAATTTCTTAAATTCCTACCCGACTTCACTGAATTACTTTCTTTCAGGTTGGCATCAGAACTGACGGAATTCAGGAGGCTCTTCTGAAATCGCCATTCCTGCATGAGGACAGGCTGCCCAGGATGAAACAAGTTCTTAAAGCTGTAAGTGTGGCATATTATAAATGTAATTCATGGAGTGTTTTTTAACAGTTACATATTTTTTGTTGTTTATTTGGCATGCTGCAGCTAAAAACATTCAAAGCCCTGCCAAAGAAGCAGCCCCTGGGCTCGATCTATGTGAAAGTTCTTGGACAAGAGATTGCTTTTGCAAATGTCGACAAAGCAGTTCTTGAACAGGCAACACAGGTATATTGTGGTAATATCACTTCATATGAACAAAAAAACTAACTAATTTGTGTTGTCCTCCTAAACTTTTGAGAACGTTCAAAATGGAGCTAACCATCAAATTTTTTCTACAGCTTACTACTGGAGGCAATATACCTGAGCTGGCAGGGGAAGCACTTAAAGCAATGCAGAATGGCACTGCCTTCCAGTATGCCAAGCCCCTACTGGTGGCTGAAGTGCGTCGCATCTTCCCATCAGTAGCTGGTGTACCCATGGAGTTCAGTTTGTATGCTGCTGCAGTGGCTGCTGGTAATTTGAAGGGTAAGAGTCTCAAAAATGCAGTAGTCTATTTATAGATTGATTGGAAATAGGGAAAGACATTTATACAAATGCACAATATTTAATAGAGAATGCACTTTAATAATGAAACTTTTTTTTTTTAAATTTGCCATCATGTCCAGTCCGGGCTATTATTACACCACCTCTAACTGAAACCATCAGTGTTTCTCATCTGATGAAGACAGATGTGAAGTTAACTGCTGAAGTTTCACCAAGCATTACCTTACAGACTTTTGCTGTAATGGGACTGAATACTGGTTTTATTCAAGCTGCATCCATGGCGAAAGGAAAGACCCATACATTTTTGCCTCTAAAAGTGGAGGCAAAGTTTGACATCACAAAGGCTAATTTCAAGATAAAGGGTTTTCCTATTGTACTTCCAGTGCATGCTTTGACAGCACGGTACAGAATATTTTATGTAGACTCATTGTCAATCTTTTCACCATGGTCTATCTCATTACTAAAGTGGCTTTTTGTGATTCTTGTGCCACACTAGTTTTGAAACTTTGGCAGCAGCTGGAAACATCAAGGCGGTCAATGCAGAGAGAATTACACCCATTGTACCAGAGACTGTAGTTCTGAAACATTCCCAAGAAGCATATACCTCAATGATTTCACCTGGAGATTTGGTAAAATAATAAGAAATTTGTTTGGCTAATTAATGTTAAAAATGAATTTCTTAATTATTCTAATTTGTTTTATTCATCCCTACATAGTCATCAGAAACCATTAAAACTGTTATGTCACCAGCCGAGGAACCTGAACTGAGGACTAGTGTTCCAATTCACAAAACATTTTGTTCTGTTGTACCTCACATTGGAGTTAATGTATGCATGGAGGTTATGTCCTGTGATGCCACCTTCATCAAAAACACCACCATTTATAACATGATTGGGCAGCATGGAGTACATATTAACATAGTTAGAGGCAAGTGTCTGAAGTCAAATCTTCAGAATTTCACTATAACTATGTTTGTTATTGAAAATGTGTTATCTTATAATCTATTTATTGACAGCTGATGGTCCTGCTGTTGAGGGACTAGAGCTAGAGGTCCAACTAGGCCAAAGAGCTGCTAAAAAGCTCCTTAAAGAAATCAGCTTTGCTGACGCGAAGACTCCCAAGGTCAAGTCCGTCCTGCAGAAACTGAGGAAAATCCTAGAGGGCGAACAGAGGAACAAGAACTCCAGTTTCTTCAGCCATAATACATTATTTTACTCTCAAAGCACCAGTAGCCACAGCTTTAGTTCCAGCAGTTCTGTTCGATCTTCCAACTTGCATCTGTCCAAAGTGAGTATTTTCATTACCACATTCGTTGGATTGCTGTTTTCACACTACACGACTGTCTGTCCTCCCTAATGTCAATCAAAGCACTGGACTTGGGTTGCAGACAAATATTTAATATATATTTCTAGATATTTAACTTGCTAAATATCTCTTGGACATTGGCGACGCATATGCGCTTCTCTCTTTGATAATTCAAACCTGAATTGCCTGGAACTAAGAAATAAAAAGAAGAAAAATATGATTTGCCAATCATAAGTCAATGTTTTAAAGTTTTACTTTTACAACTATTTTTTTTTTCTGGATCACTATATGGATCACTAGGACCTCTCCAGTGGACAAAGCAAAGAAAGTTTCAAGCCCGTTCAGGTATGACGTAGTTTCTATAAGCAGATCTTTGCTAAACCCTTTAATTCTATTTTTTTAAATAATTTTATTTTTAATCAATTAAGTTTTAAATGTCTTTACATGGTTACAGTCTAGATTCCTTGGGGACTCGGTTCCTCCAGTGGTTGCTATCATTGCACGTGTTGTGAGAGTTGATCGTAAGTTGTTGGGGTACCAGCTCACTGCTTACCTGGACATGCCCAACTCAAGGGTGCAGATCATTGTTGTCTCCATTGCAGTGAAGAACAACTGGAAAATGTGTGCTGATGGTGTCTTTTTGAGCAAGCACACTGTTGGTGTAAGAAATTTGATTAAATTACTTTGTTTTAGTTCTCTTTTTCTGCTATGTCAGAGGTGTCCAATCTTGGTCCTGGAGGGCCAATAGCCTGCAGAGTTTACCTCCAACCTGCCCCAACACACTTGCCTGAAAGTTTCTAGTAATCCTGAAGACCTTGACTAGCTGGTTCAGTTGTGTTTAATTGGGATTGGAGCTAAACTCTGCAGGATTGTGACTCTACAGGAGCAGGACTGGACACCCCTGTGTTAGGATAAAGCATTCAAAATTTGCCTCTATCTAGGCAAGGATTGCTTGGGGTGCAGAGTGCCAACAATATGCAATTACCATCAACGCAGAGACTGGCCACCAAGGCCCAAGTCCTATGGCCTATCTTAAAGTGAAGTGTGAGAAGGTGCCCACAATTATCACCACCTATGCCAAGAGGTTTGGTTACTCTTCATCGCAAATGTTCCACTTCATATATGTCAACATATCAACACATTTTTCTTTTCCTTCCCTATTCAAGTGTGGCTGAATATATTCCTGGTGCAGCTCAAATGACTGGATTGGCTATTAGCGATGAAAAAAACATTAAGAGGCAGATTGAACTGATCATACTTGTCCCAACTGAAAGGACCCTGGACATCATTATTAAGACCCCAACAGTAAGCAACAATCTAATGATTGGTTAACTATGCCTTTTTTTTGACAGCACTTTCTAAGATTTGTGAATTTGCAGATGACCTTGTCAGTGTCGAACTTGGTTCTTCCAATCGCTTTGCCATTTGAGGCTATCCAGGCCTATCCAGAAAATGATGTCACAAACATAATTCGAAACCTTTATATAGAGACTAGTTCAGGTTAGTAAAGTGTCTTAAGCTGGCCTTTCGTTTTTCATGAATTGATCTTTTTTTTCAGTAAATGTTTTGTTTGTCTCACTATTTAGCTAAATGCAGTAAGGTCAGAAACACCTTGACTACATTCAACCATAAGAAGTACAACTATGAAATTCCCCTTTCCTGCTACCAAGTCTTAGTTCAAGACTGCACTTCAGAGCACAAATTCATAGTCCTAATAAAAAAGGATGATGTCTTTGAGCATGAAGACCTAAACATTAAGGTGGCAGACATGTAAGTCCAGCTCACAGATATTACTAGTTCCATTATACAAAAGCAACCTCACTGCAATATTCAATGCTTTATTCCACCACAGCGATGTTGACATATACCACCAGAAGAGTGCAGTGAAGGTTAAAATGAATGGAATTGAAATACCAACCAACAATATTTCATACCAGCACCCAACAGGTTGAAGTTCTCTCCACATTACTTTGGAATAAAAGTCTGTTGCTTGCATCAGTGATTTTTTTTTTTTTGTGTGACTTGATTTGTCATATGACTTTTACTGGGATGCTGGTCTTTGCCTTGGGAGGGTAGTCTTAGAGTGTTTACCTGTACATTTATTAGGATTTTTTGTTGTAGGTACCATACAAATTGAGCAGAAAGGTCAAGGTATCGCTCTCTATGCCCCAGGCCATGGTCTTCAAGAGGTATATTATACCAGTGACCAGTGGATGGTAAGTCAAACAATGAAACAATTGCCAAATAATGGCAAATGATATAAGTACAATATTTTAAATGTGTTTGTGTATAACAAGGTTAACAGTTTTACAGTTTAATTTGATGTTACAAACACTGTGCTAAAGGTGTTAAAACTACAATGTGCTTCTTAGAGAATTTGATGCTGATATTTCTAAAACTATAAATTTTTCTTGGATTTTGTTAGGTTTATGTTGTGGACTGGATGAAGGGACAGACTTGTGGACTCTGTGGAAAGGCTGATGGAGAAATCAGACAGGAGTACACCACACCCAGTGGAGACCTGACCAAGAGTTCAGTCAGCTTTGCCCACTCATGGGTGCTTCCTGCTGACAGGAGTCTTGGAGTGTTTTCATGTACATTTATTAGGCTTTTTCAATGTAGGTACCATACGAATTGAGCAGAAAGGTCAAAGTATCGCTCTCTATGCCCCAGGCTATGGTCTTCAAGAGGTCTATTTTGCCAGTGACCAGTGGATGGTAAGTCAAAAAATGAAATGTTTGCCAAATAATGGCAAATAATGTAAGTACAATTGTTAGGGTATAAGAAGGTTAACCGTTTTATATTTTTATTTGTTGTTACAAACACTGTGCTAAAGATGTTAAAACTACAATGTGCTTCTTCGAGAATTTAATGCTGATATTTCTAAAAAATATCTATTTTCCCTGGATTTTTCAGGTTTTTGTCATGGACTGGATGAAGGGGCAGATGTGTGGACTCTGTGGAAAAGCTGATGGGGAAATCAGACAGGAGTACACCACACCCAGTGGATACCTGACCAAGAGTTCAGTCAGCTTTGCCCACTCATGGGTGCTTCCTGCTGACAGCTGCCGTGATGCCAGCCGTAAGATTTGTCGGACACTGTGTATTACAAAAATGTCATTTGTTTTAAAGACATTTAAAAAAATAAATATCTTTCCTCTATCAGAATGCCGCATGAAACTTGAATCTGTGAAGTTGGAGAAGCAGGTGATTTTGAATGGACAGGAATCTAAATGTTACTCCGTTGAGCCTGTGTTGCGCTGTCTGCCAGGCTGTGTACCAATGAGAACCACTCCTGTCACTGTTGGATACCACTGTATGTCCACTGGTAAGTGACTTGATTACTTGTTTGCAGACTGATATGACTCTAGTCCAGTAATCCTCAAATGGTTTTGCTTTAGAAAGCAGATTTTACATCTTAAAATTCAAAATGATTAACATAGGCTGAAAGGGAAAATATTTCATTTTGGTTAATAATTGTTGCTCCTATTTTTTTATATATATTGTGTTCCAGACTCCAACCTCAACATGTTTGATGGAATCTATGAGAAGAGTGTAGACTTGAGAGAGACTACAGATGCTCATGTGGTCTGTCGCTGCATTGAACAGTGTGCTTAAACCTACTTCTTGGCTCAGTAGCACTTAATAAAACATTTTTTAAAGCCGCTGTAAATTAACGCCTTCATTTCAATAAATCTGAACATGCATTCTCAAAATTTGTCTGCTCAATATTTTTCTTTTTTATTTAAAAACTGGTGCATGATTTCCTACTGTTGTCTACTTCTGCTGTAACCACCATTGATACTGAGGGGAACACACACAGCAATGGGATGACAGATTCTTATATTTTAAGAGTCATAAAAATAAAACATAAGGGCCATTCACAGTGAAATACTAACTGACACTAGATATTCATCTCCTATACTGAATATTAAGACATTCACCAGCACTAAACTAAACAAGTAAATACTACTCTGAATGATTTTTAGAATTATGGACCAAGTCTCAGAATTAGTATCTCTTGATTGACCATTGTATTAATCTGTGTAATCAATCAATCTACATATCGGTCCTACTTTCTATCTTTTAATTCAAGTTTGATATTGCCACCATCCTGAGTCTCAATGCACATGTCAAGAGAAATGGCCTCTGAGGACTTAAGTATTACTTTTATGGTCAAAAATGTTTGATTGAAGGCTAAAATCACAGGATTTTTCAGTTAGCAAGAAAGGCAAACATTGCTTAGAAGAAAAATAAACCAGTTAGTCAGTATAGCAATATACCCTAAATCCAATGCAATGTTATCTTAATGTACATTGTCCCTTGCATTGGGATTCACACAAACGTTTCCCCAAGAAAAAAAGGAATAATTATGCGGAAAGGTAGTAGCATTACTTTTCAATGTACTTCTACTGAAACCTCAAGGAATTCATAAAATGGAATAGATTATATTCTAAATTGGCCACAATTATGAGTGATTAACATGCATACTTCTTCCCAAATAATATACATTGTAATAACATTGAAAAATAAGCACTTACTTAACATTATCTTTTAACTTGACATTATTATTATCTTATTATATTATTATTATCTTTAACTTGATATTATTCACTTGACATTATAATTTCTAAACTTTAAAACTAACAGACACAACTAAAACCATCAGCAGTCAGTTCTCAGCTCCACACATACAAGAACTCAAACCAACCGCATCCATTGCTAAACCTCCCCTCTCCTCCTTCTGTCTCCTCACTGAGGCAGAAGTATCTAAACTTTTCCTCTCTAGCTATCCTACATCTTGTCCTCTAGACCCAATCTCCTCACACCTTCTCCAAGCTATCTCTCCTACACTTTTACCAGCACTCACACATTTCCCCACCACATTCAAGTAGGCTCGGGAACCCCACTGCTTAAAAAGCCTACATTAAACTCCTTCCATTCATAGTGAAAATACTTGAACGAGTTGTTTTCAACCAGGTATCATTTCTTTCACATAATAACCAACTGGACAATAACCATTCAGGTTTCAGAAGTGACCATTCAACTGAGACTGCTTTACTGTCAGTCACTGAAGCCTTGTGGATTGCGAAAGCTGATTCCAAATCAGTTCTCATTCTGCTGGTTCTTTCTGCCGCATTTGAAACTGTAAATCATCAGATTCTTCTGTCCACCTTCTCATCACTTGGCACCAAAGAGATTCCACTGTGCTGGTTTGAATCCTATCTCACAGGAAGGTCTTTCAGAGTTCTTATTATATAGCACATCAACTGGTCACAGGGGTTCCTCAGGGATCAGTTTTTGTAGCCCTCCTCTTCTCCATATACACTACATCACTGGGACCCATCATACAAGCACTTGGTTTCTCCTACCATTGCTATGCTGATGACACACAGCTGTATCTGTCATTTTAACCAGATGATCCAATGGTAGCTGCACGGATCTCAGGCTGCCTGGCGGACATCTCAGCATGGATGAAAGTAGGGGTGTGCGATATCACGATTTTTGCTCCTGGACAGTTAAAATGTTTTATTTTTATATTTTGTTACCTTGTAAGGCTTTGTTTAAATTAGGGAAATTAGTTTGGCTATACTGCTCAAACAACTTTCAAGATAGTAAGACCAACATGACAAAGAATCTTGATGATTCTTGATTCGTGAATCCTGATTTTCCTGAAAAAGTTCGGTCAAGTTTGTTCAGAAATCTTGTAATCTATGATGACCAGCTTACTTTCAAAAATCACACTGGAAAAATGGCTCGATCATGCAGGTTTGCATTGCACAACATCAGAAAGATCAGGCCCTTCCTAATGGAGCATGATGCACAACTTCTTGCCCTTGCATTTCTAGGCTGGATTACTGTAGTGCTCTTCTGACTGGACTTCCATCATGTGCAATCAAACCTTTACAAATGATTCAGAATGCAGCAGCAGGACTGGTCTTCAACGAGCCCAAAAGGGCCCATGTCACACCTCTCTTTATCTCCCAGCACTGGCTACCGGTTGCTGCTCGCATTAAGTTCAAGATATTGATGCATGCATATAGAACAGCCATGGGCTCAGCACCCTACTTAACACTACTTACACTCACTCGTACAAATCTATATCCCCTCCAGAAGCCTGAGATCTACAAGTGAGCGACGCCTCATGGTACCATCACAGAGAGGCACAAAATCACTTTCCAGAACATTTTCATTCACCGTTCTGTGCTGGTGGAATGGTCTTCCAACCCCCATCTGGAATGCTGAATCCCTGACAATTTTCAAGTGACAGCTGAAAACATCTCTTTCATCAATATTTGACTGCATCCTAATTTAAAAAGAAAAAAAAAACACCATTTACTTTCTCTTTCCTTAATCCCTCCCTGTCTAGCTTGTACTAATCTGAACAATGTCTGAAACCTTGTATTACAAGCACTTCCTGTGTTTACTTGCCGGTTACACTTTAAAATACTGGTGCACTAATAAGCATTAATTCATTCTTAACTAATGCACAGATAATCATGATCTAATGCACGACTAATTAAGAACTAAATCATTCATTAATGATGACTACATCAGCAACTAATAAAGAGTCTATCTGATTAATAGATTAAGAATTATATGAATTGCTATTAATTAAAAGTGTCATCATGTATTAATTCCTTAATAACATATAGTATTAACTAATAATGTAAACTAATGTGTTAACTACCACAAAGGGTCAAAGCTATGTATTTCAACTTCCAGTGGTCTGCTTTAATTAATCATTAGCTAATGATTTGCAAAGATATCATTATGTTATGACTTGACTTGTTGAGGCACATGACAATTTGTTAGTTCTTAATTAGTTGTGCATTAACTCATGATTATCTGTGCATTAGATAAGAATTAATTAATGCTTATTACTGCGCCCATATTGTAAAGTGTTACCCTTGCCTCTTTATGATGAATCGCTTGTTGTATCTCTCAATTGTAAGTCGCTTTGGATAAAAGCATTTGCTAAATGTATAAATGTAAATGAAAATGTAATAGGTAGACAAATATGGGCATACTGTATCAAAGTTTGAGACAAATAGAGTTGCAGATGTTGAATACTGGCATGAATAGAAATTGAATAAAGTTAATCATTAATTTCATACCATTTTTTATTGTAATGAATTAAAATCAGAATTAAATTAATTAAAATTTACACATTTAATAAGTCCCGCAGAAACTTTAAATTTATGATGAAACGTACTGTAAGTAGAGACAGATTTTTTTTTTTTATCAAGTTTGATGTACATGCATATGTAACAAATTACCTTATTACATGTATTACAAATGACTTGGTTTCATCCATCAGTTGTTGTTTGAATTTTGAAATGTGGGTGTTCTAATAAAAAATAAATGCGAGCTTGCAGTCAATTGTGGAGTGGCGTGTTTAAGCAGACTAAATGATTGGAAATGATTGTCATCTACAAAAAAGTGCTAAAAGTCAATCATATCATAACAATGATTGGCTGTCACAAGCACAGACACAGTCCTACATATTTCACTAGCATAATAATAATAATACTGTAACAAAGTTCATAGATCGGGGAAGAAGGAGGTGAGAACTGGCGGACGTTTAACATAAATTTAATAACAAAATAAACAACAACAAAAGTAAGTGGCAGCCCCTCATGGATGACTGCCGCATAAACATAAACATAAACAAAAGCACAACTAAAATGCCCAAGGCCTGGTCCTCTCTCTTCTTGCACTGTCGTCACTCCTCCTTTAATTCTTCCGGAGCTCCTCCATGGGACTCAAGACCGGTGAGTGAAGAACAGTATTTATATAATTTTTTACCTCTGATTTTCACCGCAATGTCCGAACTGTCTGTCCTGAGCGCGTCCTCCTGAGCGCATTCTCAACAGCCGGTGCCTGACGTTTCTTCTTCTTGCTTTATGGCAGATCGCAGACTTATAGCTCAGGACAGTTCGAACAGTTCGGACATTGCGTGAATCAGAGGTAAAAAACGATATAAATACTGTTCAGTTTCTTTCACAGACCGATCGTTTTGTGTCTTTACACATCAATGTATCGTCACGAGCTTAAACTGATAATTTACAACTATTGCATTCTTGCTTAAACTCAGAGAAATACTCTACCTTTTCAGTTCCTGAGTTTGCCCTCGATAAGACCTATGTGTACAAGTATGAGGCTCTACTCTTGGGCGGTCTTCCTCATGAAGGTCTGGCCAGAGCGGGTATAAAAGTCAGCAGCAAGGTTCTCCTCAGTGCCGTGACTGAGCACACCTTCCTGATGAAGGTAATGACTATTAAGAACTGTAGAAATTGTTAGATTTCCACACTAAAGGACTAAAAAAATGTAGCCATAATTGGCTGTTAAATGCAACAATGCCCTCATTAAAGTGAAGATGTTTCCTTACAGCTCATGGATCCTCTGCTCCATGAGTATGCTGGCATTTGGCCCAAGGATCCATTTGTGCCTGCAACTAAGCTCACCTCAGCACTGGCTGCTCAGCTTCAGATTCCCATCAAGTTTGAGTACGCTAATGGTGTGGTTGGAAAGGTATTTGCCCCTGCAGGAGTCTCCCCTACAGTCATGAACTTGCACAGAGGTATCCTCAACATCCTTCAGCTCAACCTCAAGAAGACCCAGAACATCTATGAGCTGCAAGAGGTGAGAAAGTGATCCTATTACATTTTTAAAATGTATTTTGAGTTCTGCAATCTGCCATTTTTTTGACTTGTCCTTCAAGGCTGGAGTTCAGGGAGTGTGCAGGACCCACTATGTCATCAATGAGGATCCAAAGGCCAACCACATTATTGTCACCAAGTCTAAGGATCTGAGCCACTGCCAGGAGAGAATCATAAAGGACATTGGCTTGGCATACACTGAGAGGTGTGCTGAATGCACAGAGGTAATGAAGAAAACATGAAAGAATTGAAATATTTATTCAATTAAAATGCCAGAAGTCAAATGGTCCCATACTATTCTCTCAACAGAGGGTCAAGAGTCTGATTGAAACTGCAACTTACAACTACATCATGAAACCAGCTGCCGCCGGAGTACTAATCGCTGAGGCAACAGTTGAAGAAGTGCATCATTTTTCACCCTTAAATGAGATCCATGGTGCGGCAATGATGGAAGCAAAGTATGATTGATCATCTATGACATTTCTATTAAAAATATTAACTAACAATATTCCTAACATACCGCATTAACTTTAAGTTTAAAACTGAAGCTTAATTGAGTTGAAAATTCAGAAACAATTATTTGTTTCAGACAAACTTTGGCTTTTGTTGAGATTGAGAAGACCCCTGTTGTTCCAATCAAAGCTGATTACTTGGCCCGTGGATCCCTGCAGTATGAATTTGCAACTGAGATTCTTCAGACTCCCATTCAACTCATGAAGATCAGTGATGCCCCAGCCCAGGTATAATTCATTCCTTAAAAACCTTTAAAAAAATCTCTGAGACAAAGCCTTTGATCCATGTTGAAGACATCAACTGAGTATTGCTCCTACTCTCTCAAGATTATTGAAGTCCTAAAGCACCTTGTTGCAAACAATGTGGCCATGGTCCATGATGATGCTCCCCTTAAGTTTGTTCAGCTCATCCAGCTTCTGCGTGTTGCCACCTTAGAAAACATCGAGGCTATCTGGGCTCAGTTCAAGGACAAACCAGTTTACAGGTACAATTTGTGAACAATAAGTTAATAAGAATATAATACTAGGGCAGTTTTTATTATGAATAAACTTTTATAAATGAATCTGTTAGGCGCTGGATTCTGGATGCTCTTCCTGCTGTTGGCACACCAGTCATTGTAAAATTATTCAAGGAGAAGTTCCTGGGTGGCGAACTTACCATTCCAGAGTTCATTCAAGCTCTTGTGGTTGCTCTGCAAATGGTCACTGCTGATCTGGAAACCATCCAATTGACGGCTGTGGGTGCATCTAACTACACTCAAAATGCTGTTCTTTAAATGTTGCCTTAAATAATTGTTCCACATCTTCTCAAACAGAGTTTGGCTTTGCATGAGAAAATCGCCACAATCCCAGCTCTGCGTGAAGTCGTAATGCTTGGATATGGTTCCATGATTGCCAAGCACTGTGTTGCAGTTCCCACTTGCCCTGCTGAGCTCCTCAGGGTAAACACCTCGAGCCTTCCATAAATTTCTGACAGGGACTTTCTTTTTAATATTTGTCTGATTATATGTGCCTCAAACTCTTCAGCCCATCCATGAGATTGCTGCAGTTGAACCACGCTGAAGACATCAACTGAGACTAGCTCTTACTCTCTTCTAGATTATCGAGGTCCTAAAGCACCTTGTTGCAAACAATGTGGACATGGTCCATGAAGACGCTCCACTTAAGTTTGTTCAGCTCATCCAGCTTCTGCGTGTTGCCACCTTAGAAAACATCGAGGCTATCTGGGCTCAGTTCAAGGACAAACCAGTTTACAGGTACAATTTGTGAACAATAAGTTAATAAGAATATAATACTAGGGCAGTTTTTATTATGAATAAACTTTTATAAATGAATCTGTTAGGCGCTGGATTCTGGATGCTCTTCCTGCTGTTGGCACACCAGTCATTGTAAAATTATTCAAGGAGAAGTTCCTGGGTGGCGAACTTACCATTCCAGAGTTCATTCAAGCTCTTGTGGTTGCTCTGCAAATGGTCACTGCTGATCTGGAAACCATCCAATTGACGGCTGTGGGTGCATCTAACTACACTCAAAATGCTGTTCTTTAAATGTTGCCTTAAATAATTGTTCCACATCTTCTCAAACAGAGTTTGGCTTTGCATGAGAAAATCGCCACAATCCCAGCTCTGCGTGAAGTCGTAATGCTCGGATATGGTTCCATGATTGCCAAGCACTGTGTTGCAGTTCCCACTTGCCCTGCTGAGCTCCTCAGGGTAAACACCTCGAGCCTTCCATAAATTTCTGACAGGGACTTTCTTTTTAATATTTGTCTGATTATATGTGCCTCAAACTCTTCAGCCCATCCATGAGATTGCTGCAGAGGCAACTTCTAAGAATAACATTCCTGAAATCACTTTGGCTCTTAAAGTTCTCGGCAATGCTGGTCATCCTGCTAGTCTTAAACCCATCATGAAGCTCCTACCTGGACTGAGAACTGCAGCTACTTCTCTGCCCCTTAGGATACAGGTTGATGCCATCTTGGCCCTGAGGAACATTGCCAAGAAAGAGCCCAAACTTGTAAGTGTCAGACATTGTAGAAATGAATAAAACATGATTATGCACATTTTATTCCAAAAATAAACTAACATTGTTTTCTGATTCAGGTTCAGCCAGTGGCCCTACAGCTTGTATTGGACAGAGCTCTCCACCCAGAAGTGCGCATGGTTGCTTGTATTGTGTTGTTTGAGACCAAGCCATCAGTGGCTCTCATCTCCAGTCTTGCTGGTGCTTTGAAGCTTGAAACTAATATGCATGTTGCGAGCTTCGCCTATTCTCATATCAAGTCCTTGACCAGAATCACTGCTCCTGATATGGCAGCTGTGTAAGTACAACACATTGTTCATATATTTTTCTTTACCACATTGTATGAGCACATGCCAGAGGTAGTCATGGTTGTCCAATTTCAGTGCTGGTGCAGCTAATGTTGCCATCAAGCTCATGAGCCCCAAGCTGGACAGGCTTAGCTTCCGTTTCAGCAGAGCCCTTCAGCTGGACTTCTATCATAGTGAGTCTTACAATTTTTATAAGAGAGCTAAAAAGATATGTTCTGGGTGTTTCTAAAAATGTGTATAAAAAATTCCTGACACTGAAATATGGAATAACTGCATTTTGCCTCTGTTAGCTCAAGCTCCTCCATGTCCAGCTCTCGTATGACTGAGGTGAGGACGTGGGATGTAGTGTGTTGCCAGTATATGTCATTAATAAATATATTTATTTACACATTTTATGTATTTTCAGACTGCCACCATCATGGAGCCTTTCAGGAAATTCCACAAAGATCGAGTAGCTACCAAAAAATACTATTGTCAATATTACAACCTTAGTTTATTAATGTCTATTGCTTATTACTGAACATATTTTTGCTTGCAGTACATGGCACCCCATGGCGCCTCAAAGGCAGTTAGCAGTGGAAGCACTGCATCTAGCTTTGAGAAAATCCAGAAACAGGTGAATCAGTTAGTGCTATTTGTTTGTTCATAATAAAACCCAAAGGTAATATCCCATTAAATTGATTCTAATGGGTTATGCTTTCAGGCCAAGTTCCTCGGAAATGCTGTTCCACCTGTTTTTGCTGTGATTGCCCGTGCTGTGAGAGTTGACCACAAACTGCTGGGCTACCAGCTTGCTGCTTACTTTGACAAGCCAAATGCAAGAGTGCAGCTTGTCGTTTCCTCCATTGCTGAAAATGACAACCTGAAGATCTGTGCTGACGGTGCCGTGTTGAGCAAGCACAAAGTCACCGTAAGCCTGGAAGTGCAATTTAAAAAAAAATGTCTGGATTTATTTCTTATGTCAAAGTAAGTACAAATGTGTTTTCCAGGCCAGGGTTGCTTGGGGTCCAGAGTGCCAACAGTATGCAGTCATTGCTAAAGCTGAGGCTGGTGTACTGGGCGAATTCCCTGCTGCACGTCTAGAGGTGCCATGGCGCCTCAAAGGCAGTTAGCAGTGGAAGCACTGCATCTAGTTTTGAGAAAATCCAGAAACAGGTGAATCAATTAGTGCTATTTGTTTGTTCATAATAAAACCCAAAGGTAATATCCCATTAAATTGATTCTAATGGGTTATGCTTTCAGGCCAAGTTCCTCGGAAATGCTGTTCCACCTGTTTTTGCTGTGATTGCCCGTGCTGTGAGAGTTGACCACAAACTGCTGGGCTACCAGCTTGCTGCTTACTTTGACAAGCCAAATGCAAGAGTGCAGCTTGTCGTTTCCTCCATTGCTGAAAATGACAACCTGAAGATCTGTGCTGACGGTGCCGTGTTGAGCAAGCACAAAGTCACCGTAAGCCTGGAAGTGCAATTTTAAAAAAAATGTCTGGATTTATTTCTTATGTCAAAGTAAGTACAAGTCAATCCAGACGGAACCCTTTCCATTCAAATCGATGAGGACATTCTCTCTTGGATCCAAAAACATATCAAGGAAGAATAAGACATTACATTTGACATTTTCAGAAGAGAATGGGAGCTGTGTTCATGGGGAACTCCTTGACAGTTTAATTGAATACATTATCGCTGTTGTCATGTACAGTATGTAATGTAATGCAGTCTAATGCTAATAAATATTGTGAAATTGAGTTAACTGCTTTCATTTTATAACACTAAGTAATACTCATAACAGTTTTTGCACTCTTCACAATAAGGTTCAAAATAATAATAATATTAATAAACTATAGCAGTTTGAATTTCTATAGAGGTATATTAGAGACCATACCAAATACACAGTTAAGGTCAGAATTAGTAGCTCTCTTGGTAAATGAAGGCTCTTAGTGAAGAAGGCTGTAAAAATAAATAAATCTGGGGAGGGAGGGAGGGGGTGGGCACATATTGGCCACAACTATTAGCACCCCTACGAATAAAATATCTATTAAGGATATTCCCATTAATCTTAAATTTTTTAACACACCAGGGTGACTACAAACATGAAATTGTCCAGCCATGACTTCCTGTTTCACATGAGAGTATAAATGTAAGGTAACACAAAGGCCAAATTCTCTTAATCATCCATAACAATAGTAAAAACCAAAGAATATAATTCTGGTGTGCTGCAAAAGATTTTTGAGCTTCACAAAATAGAAAGTGGCTGTTAAAAAATAGGTAAAACATTGAAAATTCCCATTTCCACCATCAGGGAAATAATTGAGACGTTCCAATCAACTGGAGATGTTATGAATTTGCCTGGAAGTGGACATGTGTCTATTGTCCTAATGCACGGAAAGGTGGATAGTTTGAGTGGCCAACAAAACTGCAGAAATTAGTTGAGACTTGGGGTCAGAACGCCTATTTATCAAACAGCACCTACATCACTACAAGTTGTTTGGGAGGGTTTCAAGAAAAAATTCTCTCCTCTCATCCAAAAACAAACTCCAGCATATTCAGTTGCCAGACACTACTGGAACTTCAAATGGGACTGTGTTCTACGGCCAGATGAAAAAAAGAAAGAAAAAAAACCCATGCCAATAGCTAAATGTACTGCTGGATCTTTAATGTTTTGGGCCTATTTTTCTGCTAGAGGTCCTTGACATGGCATCATGGATCCTATCAAGTTCCAACATATAAAAAAATCTACAGTAACTGTTTCTGCTAGACATCTTATATTGGGCCATGGTTGGATCATCAGCACAATGATCCAAAACAAACATCAAAATCATCACAAAAATGGGTCACTGAGCACAAAATCAAAGTTCTGCCATGGCCATTCCAGTCCCCTGACCTCAACCCTATAAAGGATAAGTGGAGTGAACTGAGGAGGAGAGGCACCAACATGGACCTCGGCATTTGAAAGATCTGGAGATAGAATGGTCTCTGATCTCTTGCCAGGTGTTCTCCATTCTCATCAGGCATTATAAGGAGAAGACTCAGAGTTGTTATCTTGACGGTTGCATAAAGTATTGAATAAAAAGGGGGATAATAATTGTGGTCAATGTGTATTAGGGAAAAACATTTATTTCATAATGTGATGTTCCTTCTATTTTCAATTGTTTTACTTCAATAAAAGATTAGATTTTGGGGAATTTTTTAGAATGGAAGATCAAAACGGTAAACAATATTTAAAGGATACATGTTTTCACAGCCTTCTTTGCTCATATTTACCAAGGGGGCTATTAGTTCTGACCTTAACTGTAACTATTGCCATGACTTGAACATGAACATGAGCTCATCAAGGTAGTCCAATTGGGCTTCAATTTTACTCTAAGTTTTATTTTTTGGTCAGTGGCATCCATAAATCCTTTGTTTAAATATAGGGATAGTAAATTCAGTGATCAAATGCTTAAATACTTAGAGATGGGCTAACATTTTTTTTTTTTTTGGCTGGTTTAAAATCTGCTAGTAAATCCACCATATTTGTCCTATCAGACTGTTGCAAAAAATGCCATTTTTTGTTTTCATTAATCTGTACAATAAATTTAAAGGCTGTACTTTACAGTATATATGTAATAAATTAAGTAATTTAATCAGAAGTCTGTAATAGTACAAATAACATAAAACACACTGAAATAGATTAGGCCTTTACCAGCAAACACAAAAATGGGTCACTGAGCACAAAATCAAGGTTCTGCCATGGCCATTCCAGTCCCCTGACCTCAACCCTATAAAAGATAAGTGGAGTGAACTGAGGAGGAGAGGCACCAACATGGACCTCGGCATTTGAAAGATCTGGAGATAGAATGGTCTCTGATCTCTTGCCAGGTGTTCTCCATTCTCATCAGGCATTATAAGGAGAAGACTCAGAGTTGTTATCTTGACGGTTGCATAAAGTATTGAATAAAAAGGGGGATAATAATTGTGGTCAATGTGTATTAGGGAAAAACATTTATTTCATAATGTGATGTTCCTTCTATTTTCAATTGTTTTACTTCAATAAAAGATTAGATTTTGGGGAATTTTTTAGAATGGAAGATCAAAACGGTAAACAATATTTAAAGGATACATGTTTTCACAGCCTTCTTTGCTCATATTTACCAAGGGGGCTATTAGTTCTGACCTTAACTGTAACTATTGCCATGACTTGAACATGAACATGAGCTCATCAAGGTAGTCCAATTGGGCTTCAATTTTACTCTAAGTTTTATTTTTTGGTCAGTGGCATCCATAAATCCTTTGTTTAAATATAGGGATAGTAAATTCAGTGATCAAATGCTTAAATACTTAGAGATGGGCTAACATTTTTTTTTTTTTGGCTGGTTTAAAATCTGCTAGTAAATCCGCCATATTTGTCCTATCAGACTGTTGCAAAAAATGCCAATTTTTGTTTTCATTAATCTGTACAATATATTTAAAGGCTGTACTTTACAGTATACAGTATATGTAATAAATTAAGTAATTTAATCAGAAGTCTGTAATAGTACAAATAACATAAAACACACTGAAATAGATTAGGCCTTTACCAGAGCATTTTTGCTTTCACCTGTTTTTCATTCGTTACATTTTTTCCCCCAAGTACTTCCACCTGCTTTTTATTTGTTATTTTTGACAATAAGTTAGAGACCTTATTTTGGATGTCAGTTCTATGCTAAAATTGGTTTGTCCTTGCTGATATGAGTTGATCTCACTAGATGACAAATTATAAAAGATGGAAGATTTTATTTACGGTCTCTGAAAATATGATTAAATCTTTGAATCACATTGTATTTTTTTTTTCAGGGTTCTATCATTGTGGGCTTTTAAGTGTGAGATGTCATGCTCAATGGTAATGAATTCTACAGCTGTTGAATACTTTGTGGGGGGTTTTTTGTTGGTTGCACTAATATCTTTTTAATGCATTTAATAGAAATTACTTGCTTTAAAATTGCAAAACTTTCCACGGATCACTCCACGTCTAATTCCAAAGTTCATCTAATGCTATTTCATCAGTCTTTCAATAAAATAAATAAACTAATATGGACTTTAACAATTTTTTTAGATTAAGGGCCAGGGTAACCTAACCTAAAACTGATAGCTCAGATATGCTTTCAACCCTGATCGGTTAACAAAAATATTGTTTTTTATAAAAAATACACAATAAAAATGTAGTTTGCTGTAATATACCTCACTCCATAGCTATATATATAAACTGTAATTCTGTTGTTTCGACATGACGTGATATGACAAAACTGGGGAAAATACGATTTAAATATAAAAGACAATGCTCTGCATTTCACTGTGGACATTGGCCTGAAGAATGACATGATGACAGGCCAGGGTAACCTAACCTTTAACTGATATTTACGTTCAATTAAGTTGACAAAAGTTCTGTCTTGTTGACACTTTGATACTTTCTTAAATACATCTGTTAAAAATTAATTTAAGAATTAATACTTGGTCAGCAAGAAACTAGTATAAAAGGCCTGTTTCTCTGAAGAGTTCTTCACAAACCATCAGCCATGAGAGCTGTTGTGCTTGCCCTGACTGTGGCCCTTGTGGGTAAGTCAAAATATATTTATATATTTTCTCCATCTCTCTCTTTATACCTCTTTGATAAAGCTACTGAATATTATTTTAAAGAAAACAAAAAAATTCAAAGAAAATGTTTTTTGTGTGTTTCTTTCAGCGAGTCAACAGATCAACCTTGGTAAGTAATATGATTTGGAAAATGAGTTTTTAAGTGGTAACCTAAATTGCATTACTGCTTAAATGTAATGGTCTTAACAACTGACTCAAAAATACCCTAACCTTTTCAGTTCCTGAGTTTGCCCTCGATAAGACCTATGTGTACAAGTATGAGGCTCTACTCTTGGGCGGTCTTCCTCATGAAGGTCTGGCCAGAGCGGGTATAAAAGTCAGCAGCAAGGTTCTCCTCAGTGCTGTGACTGAGCACACCTTCCTGATGAAGGTAATGACTATTAAAACTTCTAGGTAAAACACAACTAACAAAAATATCCCAGCTAGCCCCTACTGTTACAATGATGCAATCCTTTAAATTGAAAACCTTGAAATCCCCTTACAGCTCATGGACCCTCTGCTCCACGAGTATGCTGGCATTTGGCCCAAGGATCCATTTGTTCCTGCAACTAAGCTCACCTCAGCACTGGCTGCTCAGCTTCAGATTCCCATCAAGTTTGAGTACGCTAATGGTGTGGTTGGAAAGGTATTTGCCCCTGCAGGAGTCTCCCCTACAGTCATGAACTTGCACAGAGGTATCCTCAACATCCTTCAGCTCAACCTCAAGAAGACCCAGAACATCTATGAGCTGCAAGAGGTGAGAAAGTGATCCTATTACATTTTTTAAATGTATTTTGAGTTCTGCAATCTGCCATTTTTTTGACTTGTCCTTCAAGGCTGGAGTTCAGGGAGTGTGCAGGACCCACTATGTCATCAATGAGGATCCAAAGGCCAACCACATTATTGTCACCAAGTCTAAGGATCTGAGCCACTGCCAGGAGAAAATCATAAAGGACATTGGTTTGGCATACACTGAGAAGTGTGCTGAATGCACAGAGGTAATGAAGAAAACCGGAAAGGACTGACATGTTTACTGAATGAAAATGCCAGAAGTCAAATGGTCCCATACTATTCTCTCAACAGAGGGTCAAGAGTCTGATTGAAACGGCAACTTACAACTACATCATGAAACCAGCTGCCGCCGGAGTACTAATCGCTGAGGCAACAGTTGAAGAAGTGCATCAGTTTTCACCCTTAAAAACGCTGGACATTATACACTTACCGACTTTATAATAGCCACAGAGGATAAACTGGCCATCATACACTAAATGACCGAGGATCATACACTACCAGACTTTAAAGTTGTTCAGATCACAAAAAAACTCACGCACAAACATGCACCTTGTTGCTAGGAGTCGTGTGACGCATGAAAACAATATGTTCTAAAATCGGCTCAAAATATCAAACGTGTTTGATGTCCTCCAAATGGATGGAATCATAGTCTGAAGCTAAAAAAATCAGAGTCTGTGACCATCATACACTACGCGATTTTCTAATAATTCTGTCAACTCATATCTGCAGACTGGTTAACTTTCGGCAACTAGCGACGACTTAACCAAACTGGAAAATCGGGGCAAAAATCATGTAGTGTATTCCAGTCTTAAGTTAAAATTTCAGAAATAATTATTTGTTTCAGACAAACCTTGGCTTTTGTTGAGATTGAGAAGACCCCTGTTGTTCCAATCAAAGCTGATTACTTGGCCCGTGGATCCCTGCAGTATGAGTTTGCAACTGAGATTCTTCAGACTCCCATTGAACTCATGAAGATCAGTGATGCACCAGCCCAGGTATAATTCATTAATTAAAATCTTTTAAGCCCTTGATTCATGCTGAAGACATCAACTGAGCATTGCTCTTTCTCTCTAGATTATCGAAATCCTAAAACACCTTGTTGCAAACAATGTGGCCATGGTCCATGATGATGCTCCCCTAAAGTTTGTTCAGCTCATCCAGCTTCTGCGTGTTGCCACCTTAGAAAACATAGAAGCTATCTGGGCTCAGTTCAAGGACAAACCAGTTTACAGGTACAATTTGTGAGCAGTGCGTTAATAGGAATATGGTACAGGAGCATTTTTGCATGTATATATTTTAAACAATGATTCTGGTAGGCGCTGGCTCCTGGATGCTCTTCCTGCTGTTGGCACACCAGTCATTGTAAAATTATTCAAGGAGAAGTTCCTGGCTGGTGAACTTACCATTCCAGAGTTCATTCAAGCTCTTGTGGTTGCTCTGCAAATGGTCACTGCTGATCTGGAAACCATCCAGTTGACAGCTGTGGGTACATCTTAATATACTCAAAATGTTGTTCTTCAAATCTTGCCTAAATCAAATGATTCATTTCTGTATCTTGCTGAACAGAGTTTGGCTTTGCACGAGAAAATTGCCACAATTCCAGCTCTGCGTGAAGTCATAATGCTCGGATATGGTTCCATGATTGCCAAGCACTGTGTTGCAGTTCCCACTTGCCCCGCTGAGCTCCTCGGGGTAAACATATCAAGTACTCTCTAACTTTCTACCAATGATTTATTCTTTAATATTTGTCTAATTGTATGTGCCTCAAACTCTTCAGCCCATCCATGAGATTGCTGCAGAGGCCATTTCCAAGAATGACATCCCTGAAATCACTTTGGCTCTTAAAGTTCTCGGCAATGCTGGTCATCCTGCTAGTCTTAAACCCATCATGAAGCTCCTACCTGGACTGAGAACTGCAGCTACTTCTCTGCCCCTTAGGATACAGGTTGATGCCATCTTGGCCCTGAGGAACATTGCCAAGAAAGAGCCCAAACTTGTAAGTGTCAGACATTGTAGAAATGAATAAAACATGATTATGCACATTTTATTCCAAAAATAAACTAACATTGTTTTCTGATTCAGGTTCAGCCAGTGGCCCTACAGCTTGTATTGGACAGAGCTCTCCACCCAGAAGTTCGCATGGTTGCTTGTATTGTGTTGTTTGAGGCCAAGCCATCAGTGGCTCTCATCTCCAGTCTTGCTGGTGCTTTGAAACTTGAGACTAATATGCATGTTGCAAGCTTCGCCTATTCTCACATCAAGTCCTTGACCAGAATCACTGCTCCTGATATGGCAGCTGTGTAAGAAAATAAATAATTTTTCATATTTTACTTCATCACATCAAATGAGCACAAGCCAGAAGTAATAATGGTTGTTAATTTCAGTGCTGGTGCAGCTAATGTTGCTATCAAGCTCATGAGCCGCAAACTGGACCGGCTTAGCTTCCGTTTCAGCAGAGCCCTTCAGCTGGACTTCTATTATAGTAAGTCTGGGAAATGTCTTAATAGAGCTAAGAAATGGTGTGTTGGGTGTATTTCTTAAAATGCATAAAAATTCTCCTGACATAAAAGATTGCATTAATTGTATTCTTGCCTCTGTCCCTGTGCAGCTCCTCTTATGGTTGGAGCTGCTGGTAGTGCTTACATGATCAATGATGCTGCCACCATCCTGCCCAGAGCTGTAGTAGCTAAAGCACGTGCTTACCTGGCTGGTGCTGCTGCTGATGTTCTTGAGGTGGGGCAACCAAGACTTGTATATATTTTTTTTCTTCTTATTCACGGTTTTAAATGTTTTCAGCCTTCACACATTTGATTCTCTCAAACAGATTGGTGTGAGAACTGAAGGACTCCAGGAGGCTCTTCTGCAATCTCCTGCTGCAGATGAAAGTGTTGACCGTATCACAAAGATTAAGCGCACCCTGAGAGCAGTAAGTTTTCATATCCAGTGTACTGTATCATTTTCTACTTTTAAGAAATATTATAAACATGACAGGCAAAATATATGACTTCTCTTTAACCCCTCAAGCTTGCAAACTGGAAGGCCTTGCCAACCAATCAGCCATTGGCTTCAGCCTACATCAAATTATTTGGACAAGAAGTGGCTTTTGTCAATGTTGACAAGACAGTCATTGAAGAAGCAATACCGGTATTGTGTTGTAGTTTATGTCCAGTCTATCATTACCATATCTTTTTGAGATCTGTCTCACATAAAATTCTCACAATTAGAATTAAGTTTCTCATAAACACTATACCCAGATTGTGACTGGACCCAAACCACGTGAACTGTTGAAGGCGGCACTTAAAGCATTGCAGGAAGGAATTGCCTTGCAGTATGCCAAACCCCTGCTCATGGTTGAAGTGCGCAGAATCTTGCCAACCGCAATTGGTGTGCCCATGGAGCTCAGTTTGTACACTGCTGCTGTTGCTTTTGCAAGTGTCAATGGTATGTTTTTTTCTTTCTTAGAATTTTTAGATCCTTTACTCAGATGTGAGGGGGTCACCTCTTAGGTTGATGTTGTTCTATTGACCCTTCTAGTTCAGGCCACCATTACACCACCTCTCCCTGAGGAGATTGAGACCATGACTCTTGAGCAGCTTAAGAAGACTGATGTTCAACTCCAAGCTGAAGCTAGACCAAGGTACACTTTTGCAGCTACATTCATGAAGATAAGATATAAAGTGCACAGCAACAGTTTTACAAACAAATCTCCCTTATTTTTATTTCAGTGTTGCTCTCCAGACCTTTGCTGTGATGGGAGTGAACACTGCCTTGATCCAAGCTGCTGTTATGGCAAGAGGAAAGATCCGTACAATTGCACCTGGAAAAGTGGCTGCAAGAGCAGACATTCTCAAGGGCAACCACAAGGTGGAGGCTCTGCCTGTTGAGGTTCCTGAACATATTGCTGATGTGAGGTAATGAAATCCTAGTGATGCCAGTCAATTTGAATAGATTCATAAACAATTTCAAAAAGTTTCTGAAAAGTGAAATGCAACCCACCTGTTTCTTGTTCCAAAAGCTTTGAGACACTTGCTGTGGTCAGAAACATCGAAGAGCCCACTGCTGAGAGGATTGTTCCCTTGGTACCCGAATTGGCTATGCAGAATGCCCAGACACCTGCTGATTATTCTGTAAAATTTGAACAAACACACACAATGGATATGTATTAGTATGCTGAGCATTCATTTGCTCCAAGTTTTAAAATGGCAAGAATTGTTATAATACTCAATTTTTCTTTCCAGTCATCTGAGATACCAGATCAGGCTGCTCTGAGATCTGCCACACCATTTCACAAGACTCTCTGTCTTGCTGTCCCATACATTGAAATCAAGGGATGCATTGAGGTGCACTCTCACAATGCCGCTTTTATCAGAAATGATCCTCTGTTCTACATAATTGGACAGCACTCAGCCCGTGCCTCTGTGGCAAGAGGTACTTACAGAAAAGATTACATTCATGATACTCAACGATTTTCAGATAAAATGATAATTAGCAGTCTGTCGTTTTGGCTTTAGCTGAAGGTCCTGCAGTTGAAAGACTGGAGCTTGAAGTCCAAGTTGGTCCTAGAGCTGCTGAGAGGCTCCTTAAGCAAATCAGTCTCATTGATGAGGAGACTCCAGAAGGAAAGGCCTTCCTGTTGAAACTGAGGGAAATCCTGGAGACTGAAGATAAAAATGTTCGTGTATCTTCTGAAAGCAGCAGCAGCAGCCGTATCATCAGCAGCAGCTCAAGCTCCTCCATGTCCAGCTCTCGTATGACTGAGGTGAGGACGTGGGATGTAGTGTGTTGGATATAAATATGTATATTAATGTACACAGAGTCATTTTATATGTATTTTCAGACTGCCACCGTCATGGAGCCGTTCAGGAAATTCCACAAAGATCGGGTAACTACTAAAAATAGTTTTGTTAACAATATTGTTTTTTTATCATCAGCTATTAATCATGTCTATAACATTATTTTGCTTGCAGTACATGGCACCCCATGGTGCCTCAAAGGCAGTTAGCAGTGGAAGCACTGCATCTAGTTTTGAGAAAATCCAGAAACAGGTGAATCAATTAGTGCTATTTGTTTGTTCATAATAAAACCCAAAGGTAATATCCCATTAAATTGATTCTAATGGGTTATGCTTTCAGGCCAAGTTCCTCGGAAATGCTGTTCCACCTGTTTTTGCTGTGATTGCCCGTGCTGTGAGAGTTGACCACAAACTGCTGGGCTACCAGCTTGCTGCTTACTTTGACAAGCCAAATGCAAGAGTGCAGCTTGTCGTTTCCTCCATTGCTGAAAATGACAACCTGAAGATCTGTGCTGACGGTGCCGTGTTGAGCAAGCACAAAGTCACCGTAAGCCTGGAAGTGCAATAAAAAAAAATTTATCTGGATTTATTTCTCATTTTAAAGTGAGCATATATTTGTTTTCCAGGCCAGGGTTGCTTGGGGTCCAGAGTGCCAACAGTATGCAGTCATTGCTAAAGCTGAGGCTGGTGTACTGGGCGAATTCCCTGCTGCACGTCTAGAGGTGGAATGGGAGAGGCTGCCAATAATTGTCACCACCTACGCCAAAAAGTAATGTTCATAAACACTGAACAACAAATGTAGTGTTGAAAATGGCACTGGTTTAATTATCTAATTTTCTCTGTACATCCCTTCACAATTAGGCTGTCTAAACACATCCCAATGGCAGCTTTCAAAGCGGGCTTCAGACTTGAAAGAGTATCAAACGCTGACAAAGAGATCGAACTGACCGCGGCCTTGCCATCTCAGAGGTCCCTGAATGTCATTGCTAGGATCCCAGAGGTAAACTAGTTTTCTTTGAAATTATGACTCACACAAAGATATAATAAGAAAATACAACTAATTGTTTTTGTTCCCGCTGCACTAGATGACACTGTCAAGAATGGATATTCCTCTTCCCATCGCTGTTCCCATCAATCCAGACGGAACCCTTTCCATTCAAATCGATGAGGACATTCTCTCTTGGATCCAAAAACATATCAAGGAAGAATAAAACATGAAGAATTACATTTTACATTGAAGAAAATGTTAGCTGTGTTTATATTTTATAGTTCATATTTCATGTTTAATTGAATTTTACCACTGATTTAATGCAAGCAATACTAATAAACACCCTGCAAGTTAACGACTTGTGAATTGTTTTCACTTTACAGTAATGTCTAGAATTTTTTACTGTTAAATAATTTTAACAAATAGCCTTCATATAATTGAAACAATCAACACATTATGTTAAAATTGGTTATACATTATAATAAGGACCACAAAACAATCACAATACATACTTTTAGTTACGATAAATAATATAAAGACTACATAAATTAGTACTGGCTTTTTTAACCTGGTCACTATAAAATTTAAATATTTAAAGGGGTCATGAACTGCCTTTTTTATTATTCTGTAATGTTCTCTGAGGTCTACTTATAATGTTATCAAGATTTTTACATCAAAAAACATAATATTTCAGCGGTCATAGGCTTTTTTTCTGTCCCGTTTTGACCCCTCTCATCGGAACGCTCTGTTTGAATAGGCGTGGCGGACTGTAGACTCGGAAGTAAACACCCACTGCTATGATTGACTAGTAGTGTATGTTTGACAGCTTTATCCATCCTACAGTTGGTTCCCCCTCATGCATTCAGAGAATTCATTTAATCATGCATTCTTTCATTTAATTTCTTTCAGCACTCCTTATGTTTTCACACAAAATGAAACCTACATTGCCTATTGCGCCTGCGTGAGACTGTTAATTTTGCTAAATGCTGAGCGGTATTTATCGCGACTTTTTCCACGTATTTATAAATTAATCCAAGTTATTCAGTGAAGAGCAGGTTTGAGCAGAGTGATTTTTCTTTTGGTCTTTAATTAAGATTAATGAAACAGATAGCAAACTGCTCTTTCAGATCAAATACACGGATCTGACACACGCATCAGATTTTCTGTTTACGTTCATTTAAAACTTTTTATTTTAACTTAGACTGTGCTTAAACAAGGACATTCGCCAAAACAGGCATTTTGACTTTATTTTAATTGTATTGGGCCTTTCAAGCACAGTAAGATGAAAAGTGATTCTGTAATGGTGCGCTGTCTGGGAAGCGGCTGTGTGCGCGCTTTGGGTGCACGCGCCTACAGAAAACAGCGCTCGAGTACCGAATTAGTTCTCTTTCGTGATTTCTTGCACCTGAACGGTTTAAAAGCTTTTGAATGCTTACTGGCAAAACTAAAAAACAAGCATATGAATGATGAACTTTTGTGACGAGTCAAAAATAAAGCATTAAGCTGAAGGGGGAAATTTTCAAAAAAGTGGGGGGGGGGGACATGTCCCCCCTGTCCAAAACCACCCACCCCCACCCCCCGGGAATTGCGCCACTGAGTACAATGACCTCTTATATGTCAAAAGATCAATGGAATTTTATTTCTCAGTTCATGACCCACGTAATACTCATATGGTAAAAGCCCATCTCATTGCAAAACATGCAGAATTATCTTCAAGCAACGCAATGCCATTAGTTTCAAACCAAAAATTTAGCTGAAATATGTTGTCAGAGAATTTTTTTTTTTACTTCAATAACCCAATTACCTCATAATAAGTTAAGAAATAAGTTATTAAAAGATGACAAAACTCCAAGCAGAACAGCAATAATATGTCAAGAATAATCACTTTCAAAATGTATGACAGCTTTCTTTTCAGATAACTACTATAATAAATCATTGACATTTAGCCTACATATTTTGAGAGCAAGAAATCGTAACCTAGGTTTACCTTAACACTGGAAGTCATGTTCCTGGGAGTTGTGATTTGAATGGACAGCTAAGAATCCGAAATTCTCCTTCGCGCCATTATCAATACATTAGTCGCTGTGTGAGGAAGTTGACGTCATGCGCGTTAATGCGTGTGTGCGTCAACCAAAGGAAAGGTACGACATCCCATCAAAAATAAAATGTAAACACTGTTTAACTAAAAGTAAGTTTAAAGGCCAGCTGACAAGTTACATTTAAATACCTCAAAACGTACTGAATAAAATGTATTGAATTTAAACTTTTTGCGTTGCATTTAGAATCCAGCAGTAGGTGGTTTTACCCTTATTTTCAAAGTATGAAACTGTCATTATTTCACGCCTTTACAAGAATTACTTTATTTGAATAAATATTGAATAAAGCGTTTTGAAAGACTATGTCTACACCATTTTATTTAAATGGAGCTTATTCCTTGGTATGTTTTATATCTACGTTATGTGATATAGCACTTTATCCACATGCAACAATATATCAAATCTTTGTGGTTTTGCAGCTGATTTAAACAACAATGTTGGTACACCGATTACCTACAAAAAAATCTAAAATAAAATAAGTAAAATGTAGTTTCAAAGGCAAATGCACAATAAATACAATGAACAAAGTATTTGACCTAGATTTGTCAAATGCATTATTCTTTACAACTTAGATTGAAGTAACTATACTTTATACTCAACAACAAAAAATAAGTTACAAAAAAAATTTAATAAAAAAAGTGTAACACTGTTGAAAGTGATGCCGTTTTAACCAGATATGTATAGGTTACATATGCTATATGTAAGCCGTCTGCCATATTGGAATAGTCAAAGCCAGTCTGTGAATACTCGAGAGCAAGTTCCCTGTCTGCAACTGTAGTTATAGGCTACGCATGCATGAATATATTATCTTCAGTAGACTTAAGCAGATGCCTTTTCTAAACTAACACAATATACAACAAGACGAAACTGTTAGCTAACAAGGCATTTAAAAGGTCCTTTAGTTTAAAAACATGTACATATTAAAAACACAAACCAACACATTCTTACCTGTAAAAGTTTTTTCAGAAACTAAAATTTAGGCGGTTTTTACAACCAGATGCTGCACAATGTTGTTGCATCATGAAACTCATTGATTTTTAGTGTGAGTGACGACATATAGACCGTTCCAAGATGGCGGACGTGTCGACGTGTCTGGAGCGGTCGAATGTGGCATCTACCTATACATATCTATGGTTTTAACTACCTAGAAGTAAACCATAAAAAGCTGTAACTAATACAACAACAACATATGAAAACTAGAAACACTTTAGTTCATTTCTACTAGCAAAAAGCAATCCGAATAAATATCTATATGGAATTTCGAAATTAAAATGCTTTCAAAAAGTCATTATGGACGTATTTAAAACATTGCTTATTTTTCAAAACGTAAAAATTCAGAGGCTTGTTAGATTCAGCAACCTTTAGTCTCTTACAATCGTACCTCTTACAATTGGCACATGATTCTGTTTAAAATTAATGTCCATATGTTGACAGTTCTTCATAAAGATACTCGCAGACTTCATTCACATTCAAACTCATTTATATTGGTTCCAGCCGTCTCTCTTCTGGTGTTGGAAGAAAATGTAGGTTCATCTGCAAGCAGTTCCATTGGTGTGGATAGACTACAGATGAGATTTGCTGACTTTACCAGAAATCGAAATGAGTTTCTCTTCATGACCAGAGTCTGCAAAATCAGAAAACAAATCTCAAGTTTTATTTTAAAGAGAAATTAAACTAGTAAAAAGAATGAACTTACGCTTTGAAAATTCATCAGTCCTGCGACTTTGTGGTTTCATTTGGTCTGCAAATGTTGTGTTCAGAAACTGATGTTTGAGCCACACTGCACGATCGTCCTCAAAACACTTTCTCTGAAACGAGGAAAATGCGATTAAAATCAAGATGAATTAAGAACTGAATTCAGAAATCCGTAGAAACCAATAAGCCAGAACCTCGTGGCCCAATCTGACGGCAGCCTCTGTAAAATTTCTCCTTTCGATTTCAAAGTTTTTCCTCTGTTCTTCAAACACTCTCCACTCTTCTTTCAAGCGTTCCTTCTCTTCCAGCATGTAGGAGTCATTCAGAATGGCTGCGGTCTCCTCATCACAGGATGTGTTGAGCTGTTGCTGTAAAAATAAAGCAACGTTCATACTCTCTTGGAAATATCTGAAAGGTTCTTTGGGGAACTCAAAATGGTTCTTCTATGGCATCGCTGCGAAAACTCAATTTTGGAACCTTTATTTTTAAGAGTGTAGGAACGCAGCTCTACTTGTGATTTTAAGCATCAATGACTGAATGAAATTGTACCTCTACTTACTTGCAGAAGTTGTTGTTGAGTCTGAATAAACTCTTTGCACTGCTGGATTTCCAGCTTGAGCCTCTCTGTCTCATCTTCATAGAGTTGTTTGGAGATCATCTCTTCACTGTCTCCATCTTGCACCATGGATGCTTCAACAAAAAAAATATCTGTATATTTATTTTATAATAGGTTGTGTGTTTAAGTCTAATGTGTAACATTCTGTGCATTAGGTGATAAGGCTGCTCAAGAATGAAGAAGAAGCCCTAAAGGTCTGTGAGCGGTATGCTCTACCTTGGCTGTCCAGTCTTTCCACGTGGTGTTTGAGTTTCCTCCACTGCTGACGAATGCTGTTGGTGAGTTTCTCCCGAGCATGATCACATGACATCTCATGAGGTCCTTTCAAGGGTTCTTCATCATCTGAATTTGTCTGCAGAGTCAACTGAAATATGACAAATTTTTCTTTTTCTTTTCAAAATACCATTAGCAAACACAAACAGTTATGAGCTGTATCATAAAATGTTTAGTGTAAAATGGCTGTTACGGACATGGTCTAACCTGATCCATGTTATTGCTTTGTTTCTCTTCCTTTTGGCACGTCTTCTTTGAATTTAAAACCCCAACCATCTCGCGTTTCATTTGTTGAAGCACCTTCTTTAGCTCTATGTTTTCCACCATTAGCTCCCTCTGACGGTTATCAAATTCATTGAGTAGAGTTTTGTACATCTCTCCCTCGTGTCTGAAAAAAAATCAAAACAAAACAAAAAGAATGTCTAAAGTTTTCATATGATATTATAGAGAAGGGGAACTATAAAATAACTATTAAAATGGCAACAAATAACCCAAATGATTGTCTTTTACCTGGATTCAGTTTTTCCAGTTTTCCAAAGACATCTCCTCCCATCTGACCTTCCAACATAATTCAAAACTTCCATTCCTGACAGAAAGTAGAAATTATTTTCAAAAGATCTAAAATGTCATGAAGGTCACTAAAACCACTGTTTCTTTAAACAATTAATAAATTAAATTCTAAAACAATTTGAACTTCACTGGTTTGCAGTGTATATCATCATAAACATATTTTTACAACATATTTTTTATGTAACTAAAAGTGTTATTTGTAATTTTATCACAACAAAATTAATTTAATATTAATTTAAAATAAATTTTTGGGGGCAGTCACGACTGAGGTGAGACCCTTGAGTAAGGTACCGAACCCCCAACTGCTCCCCGGGCACCGCAGAAAGAATGACTGCCCACTGCTCCGGGTGTGTGTTCACCGTGTGTGCGTGTGTGTGTGTGTGTGTGTGTGTGTGTTCGTGTTCACTACTCACTGCTGTGTGTGTACACTTGGTTGGGTGAAATGCAAATTCCAAGTATGGGACACCATACTTGGCTACATGTCACATAACTTTAGCATATATATGTGTATATATATACATATATACAGAACATATATACTGAATATATATATATAAATTCAGAATAATAATATTTTTATTATTAATCTGACTAAAGAGACAGAGAAGATTTCTACTTTGTTACAAAACAAATGCTATTCCTCTAAACTTTATAATTATCAAAAGATCCTGAAAACATATTATTATTAGAATGACTTCTGAAGGATCATGTGACTCTGAAGACTGGAGTAATGATGCTTTGCATCACAGGAATATATTACATTTTAAAATATATTCAAAAAGACATCAGATACTTTAAATTGTAATAATATTTCACAATATTACTGGTTTACTGTATAAGAAGTCTTAAAGATGCCAATAACACAGTATATTCAGTATGTTATACTATTAAGAAATATGCTTAAGTAATAAACATTACCTTGTTTATTTTCCTTTTTGGCAATGAGTAGTTGATTGAGGCGCTCCTTTACTCTGTTGTGCTCCCTTTCTCTTCTCTTAATGTCATGGTTGTATTGTGTGGCACGACTTGCAATGATACCCTGCAGCCTTTGTACCTATTAAAGTAAAAAGCATATTTGATAAAATAACATATTTTAAAAAAAAACTGTACATGACATCACAGCTTTCTCGTTCATTTTTCATACGTCTTCTTTTGCATCTTTTAGGCAGTTTTGCAAAGTCTTTAAACTTGTTTCCAGCTGACGTTCTCGCTCGTGCAAGCGCATGTTTTCCTTCTTCGAAAGTTCAAGCTGGTCCTACAAAACAGTGAAAATTCAGAGTTTTTCTTGTTTTGTTTACTGAAGAAAAAAAAAAGCCATAAAAAAGTGTGATAAAAAAGCCAAACCTTTAGCCTGGAGTTGGTGAGATGTTGGTAGTGGAGGTCACTGCTGGACTTGAGCTGCTCCACCTCCAGCTCCTCCATCATTCCAACAGCTCGACGGTGTAGCTGAAGCAAGTCATATATGTTGTTTAGGGCAACCGCAGCATCCAGATCACGGATGTTGTCTGAGTTTCGGTAAATTGGTGGAAAGCACAGGGAAGACAACTCCTGTAAATGTAAAGAGTGGCAAGTCTATTAACAATGCTAGATTCAGATATGCTCTTGTTTAGATTCTTCTACTAGATTAATCCTCTTCAAACTCACAAGACAAGTTGCAAAACAAATATAAGAGCACCTACCTGATTGATGTATAGAATGCACTCAGAGATATTCTCTTCCGTGCAGAAGTTGCTTGAGACATTGAAAGAGCTTAAAGGCAGAGGAGGCATGACAGATGCCAAGTATAGTCTTGAAGGAGACATTCTAGTCAATAAAGCCTATATGTTCTAGAAAGGAGCAAAAAAACATAGACATAAATAGTTAGCTGTATAAAATAATGCATAATCATAAAATGCATTATTAATTGTAAAGATTTGTCTTAAGTACATGCGGTACCGGTTCTGAGAGAATGCGAATACTGCTCTAAATGAGGTTAGGAGGTGAACCTGTCCTTAAAATAACTTTCCACAGTATTTTGAGTCGCCTAATATTTCCCTTTTCCCACAAGACTTTGGTTATCTGGAGCACCAACTAAAATCTCTGTTACTTTCCTCACCTATGTGCTGAGAACCTAAATGATATGCCAAATGCAACTGATTTAAAAGGAATATTTTGCCCAGAAATTATTTACTCACCCTCATCATTCCAAACCTGCTGTTACCACATTTGTCAAGCTCCAAAAAGGAAAAAAAAAACCTAAACGAGAACCCTAAAAATGTAGTCTATTTGACTTGTGCACAACATTCAAAGTCTGAATTATGATTCAGATTTCTGTAAAGAACAGACCTAAATTTAGGATTTAAAATTTAAGAATGTAAAATGGTCCCCTCCACCAAAGTTCTTCAGTAAAATACAGTATGGTGCCGAAAGTCAGGTTTGAGTTCATAACATTTTGGTCACAAAGCATGTGAGAACCAATGATGGTGACATCTAAGGTGACATAATGTGTTAAAAAGCAGCATATTATGGCTGTTCCTCACACAAAATTATCATATATATCAGTGCAAAAGCCATATCTCTTTGGTTAAAAATCACTACAGTCTTAAAAATACAGTTTCAAGAAGCTTTTTTTTTTCTGTGATGCCATAGAAGAACCAATTTGGTTCCCCAAAGAACCTTTCAGTGAACAGTTCTTAAAAGAATTGTTCTTAGTGTGAAACACATTTTAAAAATCTAAAGAATCTTTTTCCACTATAAAGACCTTTTGTGGAATGGAAAGGTTCCATAGATGTTCAAGGTTCTTCATGGAACCATCAATGCCAATAATATGTATATATATATATATATGTATATGTATATATATATATATATTGGTTATTCCACCGAACGACAATACAAAAATCCATGAGAAGCTAAATATTACTGGATAGTACAAACCTAGAACACACCATGATCAGATCTAAAGTAGGTTAAGGTGAATAGAAGGATTTCTGCATTAGGGCGCCGAATTCACACAAAAGTACATGATGATAATGCGCCACAAAAGCTATTTTTACATCTTTAATATTTAGGAATTACATACATCAGCGGTTCACTTACTGCGTATCTTTTGGCATTCAAGCGCACTCGTGAGGTTTGTCAGCTTCATTTCCCGACATTCGGCACGGCTTGACACATATTTTCCAGATAAGTTATTATGCGTAATAAAGCTGTGGCACTTCGCTACATTGATGCAGGCGCCTTCTGGACAGCTCAACCTTGAACGAAAACACTCACAAGCAAATGCGTTGCCATGCAACAAAAATGAGGGCGTGTCATTGGCTGTAACTCATGCGCGCCCCCGCAGAAAATCCACCAGTAGGCGTCATAGCAGTCAATGCAGGTGCTAAAAACTCAAATGTGCTAGTTACTCTTATAAAGTAATGTAGTTTATTGTGATATATATAGTGATAGTATTAGTAACATGGTGCTAAAATATAGTTTATCACTGCAAAGCTAATAGTTATTTTAGAACATCTACATCAGACAAATCGGTTTGCACATTTTATTCCAGCATATCTACTTTAAATGACAAATTATGCACACATTTGCCCTTCAAATGACAAAGACCATTTTTAAATCGTCCAGACACAACATATACAACATTGTTTTCTTTGTCTAATGCACAAAACAATGACAGCAGCAATATTTCAGCATAGCAGCAATCAAATGTAATACTTAGCACATACTTATACACCAACAGTAAGTATACGCTTAAATAAAGTCAGTTAGCATGTCTGCTAAACATGTCAATTTATTTGTTAAGGTCTCTGTCGTGACTGTGCTTATATATGACTGCAGCACATAATTTAACTGCTAACAGGAACAGGAAGACCCAGAGGTTCGTCTTCCTGGAACAAAGGGTCTGCGGGGCTTCTTTTTGCCTCCAGCCACCAAGTTGTCATTTCGCCTTTCCCCTGTTTAACAGAGTCACAATTAGTGAATCTCCTCCAGTGCATGTTAAACACAAAACTCTGAAGGACAGCATCATACAAAAAGAAAGAAAGAGGGGGGAGAGATAGCGACAGAGCAGAGGTGTGTATTCACTTGTGCATAATGAACAGACATCACTTAAGTGACAACACAAAAGCCAGCTGAGGCCGAGCCCTAATTGAGATAAATCACAGCTGCGCTAAGGTCTGGAGTTCAGCCTCAGGGGGCCATACCATCATCTCAGGAATAAAAAGATCAATAGCAGATTGATTTGGTACAAGGGTCTATAATATTCCAGATCAGTGTATGAATAAAAAGATTTTAAAAAACTATTATAAATAATAGCCTATAAAATATTATGATAATAAAAACATTATGAATACTAAAATAAATAAATAAATATATCATGAAGCACTTATTGTACTCATTAATAACAATTACATATTTTCAAGAGTTAATACAATTTGAATTTTTTTTCAAAATTTATCAGCACATTAATCATCTTTTTATACTTATATATAATTGTATTTCAATGCTTTAGAGTTTCTAAAGCATTGAAGCAGCTAAGTTTCTCTGGGCAACGCAAGAGATTTGCGAGAGAACTGGAAAATGAAAAGGTTTGCATGCGAATGCAGTGTTTCTTGGTTGAACGCAATACTTTGTGAGTATTGCTCAAAAGCATTCTAAAGCATTGAATTATAAGTGCTTTAATTATCTTTTATATATATATATATATATATATATATATATCATAATTAAAGCACTTATAATTCAATGCTTTAGAATGCTTTTGAGCAATACTCACAAAGTATTGCGTTCAACCAAGAAACACTGCATTCGCATGCAAACCTTTTCATTTTCCAGTTCTCTCGCAAATCTCTTGCGTTGCCCAGAGAAACTTAGCAATCTCTTGTGAAACATTTGTATTATTTTGAAAAAGTATTGCGTTTCCTCAAGAAACGTTGCTTTTTCTTGCAAAATTTTTGCATTGCCACAATAAACTTTGTATTCACTCGGAAAACTTTTGCATATCGCATTGCTCAGAGAAATTTAGCAATCTCTTGTGAAACTTCTGTGTTATGTTTAAAAAGTGTTGCGCTTCCTCAAGAAACATTGAATTTGCTCGCAAAACTTTTGCATTAACCAGAAAATTTGCGTTAGCCGCCTGAGAGACTTTTCAAAGATGGCCGCTGAGTAAAATGACTTGCCTTAAAAGGACCTTCAGCCATTTCCAGGTTGTTTCACCCACAAGACCATTTTGTTTCCCCTACGTGAAACTACGTGTTTGCTCGCAAAAGCAGTGAAATATATAGCTTTTCCTTCCACCTCATATTATTTCCAACACAAAAGTTTTGCGAGCAAACACAAAGTTTCTTGAGGGAACAATATTTTTGCAAGAGAATGCAAAAGCATTCAAATATATTTTCCTACCATTTCATTTTTTTTTCATTATCACTCTTTAGGGGCTTTGTGGTACGCTGAGCAGTTTGCAAGTATTGAGAAGTTATCCATGGCAACCATGGTGAGTGACCGAAACTCTAAATTTATGATACACATAATAAAAGCTCTGTGGGTGGCTTCTTTGCATACAAGGTCAATTGCTGTATAAGCAATGAATTGACCATCCTACCTTCACATAGAGAGACCCACGACACATCAGCACATATCCACCAAGTGTGTGTAGAAGATCTGCTGTGGAACCACTGCACTGGATCTTTAAAGCTGTACATCATAAAACAACGATAAGACATATAAAGGCATATGTGAGAGAAATGGCAAGCCTGAAAATTATTTAATAATGATCCATGACAACCCATGAGGTTTTTGGTTAGCTTTATCTTCTTTTGATCTCCACAGAAGTTGAAGAAAGGGAACTATTTGGATCCATCGTTCGATTTTAGCACATTTTAACCAACAAAACATTGCAAATATTTACAAGATTCCATTCCCCCGGAAATGTCAGACAGGATCAGTTACTAATTGACGCTGTGTAAACAGCTGCGTTTGCCCAAATACCTTCACTGGTGGACTCCATACGGGACGCTGTGTTTACAGTGTCGCCAAACAAGCAGTATCGTGGCATTTTGGTGCCAACCACCCCAGCTACAACAGGGCCTAAAAAAAAGCAAACACAAAATACATCTAATTCAAAGGATGTAGTTTAGAATAATTGTTAAAAATGGTATTTAGCTAGCTTGACGCTAAGTTCAGAAAAGACAGGTGATTGATGGGAGCCATGCTGACCTGAGTGGATGCCAGCCCTTATCTTCAGCTGTGTGGTGGGCTTGTGTGGGATTTTAAACGCGTGACAGATGCTGATCAAGTCCAGCGCCATGCTGGCTATTTCCCCAGCGTGATTGATCCCGTTCTCTTTCGGTACTCCTGAGACCACCATATCTGAGGAGGGAGAGGGCTTTCATTGATTTATGTGTCATTTGATGCAAAAGTGTGGCGAACAAAGGAAGCAGGATCTCTCTAACCGCACTCACAAGCATCTCCTATAGTTTCCACTTTGTACACATCGTAGTTGTCGATGATGTCATCAAATGTGGTGTAAAGCTTGTTGAGGAAATCCACAACCTGGTGAGGGGTGCTGGAGCAAGAGAGTTGGGTGAAGCCCACTATGTCACTGGCCAATGGAAACACAAAAGAATTCATTAATATACGATATAATCATTTATGATACACTACGGTGTTCAGACATTCTTTTTTTTTAAGAATGTGATACTTTTCTTCAGCGTAATGCATTTAAATGATCAAATGTGACAGTAAAGACATTGCAAAAAATTGTTACAATAATGTTATAATGTTCAAAAACAGTTATTTTAAGTTTGTAATATTTCAGATTACTGTTTTCACTGTAAATACAGCCTTGGTGAGCATAAAAGACATTACAAAAAAACTTACTGTACTTAATAACCTATTATATTTTATTATATAATGTAACCATGTCACTTGCCTTTAAAAGCAAATATTTGTTTCAAATACATCATTCATTTTCATGCTTGCCTGAAATATACAGTGGCGTTGGAGTAACTTTGGGCTTCTGCTGTGCGTCCCTGACGAAGATCATCAGCCACTGGTTTCGGTAACATGCCTGACACGAAGAGAAATAATATATTAATTAAAAATATATTAATAATACCAGACTTTAGTCTTTGCAACTTCAGGGATCTTATCTATGCACAATCAGCTTGTAACACTCCAAAGAGAAAGGAAAACTTGAAATCGCATCATATGACCTCTTTAAAAAAAAAAAATAAATAAAAGAAAGGCATTAAAAATCTCAAGCTGGAAACTTGAGAATGCCCTTACTTTAAATGTCCACTAGGTGGAACCATTTGGACAACTGTTTGTGTTTTTGTTCATTGAAGTGTGTTTTTAATAATGATTATGAATAATTAACTTTCATAGGTATATATATATATATATAATTATTACTAATTTCTTTTAGTAAGAAAGGAATATCATATTCAATACCTTAAAATATAATATTCAATATAAAGTACTTTTTAAACTGTATTTATTAATTGTATTAATTTTTATACTATTTTTAACTGTAAAAGAAAGACGAGATACATACCAGGTTCATCATCATATCCACAGGGCTGACCTTGTGTGGGTTCATTTTATCGAGAATCTTTTTCACCTGCTCAAACGTCGGCCTCGTGGTCACATTGTGGTTCCAGCATCTCTTTATCAGCTGCGTGAAATTTGACTATGAACACTGAGTGCTTTTCATTTATCCACAGTTATCTTCTTTTAATCAGGCATAGTAAACATTCGCATCAGCGGCAATTCATTGAAGTAATTGATCTTCAATGAAACGTTCTGCAAAAGGAAATGTGCTCCAGTAAATAGCATGCATCAGTTACATCCATACAAACCTCACAGTAATCATCAGGATCTGGGCAATCACTGTCTGGTCTCCCAGCCTTCAGTTTGGGAAGTGATGGGCGCCACATGACATCAAGCTTCACTGAATCTGCCTGTTCCTGCTCATGAAACAATAATTGCATTTCTTATCATCACCTATCAAGCAAAAACGGTCTAAACGTCCTCAAACCTTCCTGATCCTTGTATACTTACTGAAACGAGGTCACTGCGAGTGGCAATTTCCACCAAGATAATAGAGTAGCTTGAGAAAAGGTAGAAAAGACCAATGTTTATTTCACACTTCTTTGAGACTGAGTTTTATTTGAGAACAAATTACTGCTCTGGGAAATATATATATAAAATATACAAAACATTTACATGTATCTGAAGATAAGAACAGGGTCATTCCTGTCACATTATGTCTGCACAATTTCTAGTCTTATTAATAGCTGAATAACTTTTTTATTTATTTGTAATTCTTATATATATATATATATACACACTGTATAATTTTCCTTTATTTATTTATTTATTAAAGTTTGGAATAAATAAGGTTTTTGTAATGATTTTAAAGAATTTTTAACTCTGTTAATGGCTTCTGAAAAGTAATGGCTTCTGAAAATTTTGCCATCACAGGAATAAATTAAATTTTAAAATATATTCAAAAATAAATGTTATTTTAAATTGTAATAATATTCCACAATATTACTGTTTTCACTATTTTTGATCAAATAAATGTGCCTTGGTGATCACAAGAGCATCTTTCAAAAAAACAAAAAAACTTAATTATTCCAAAATTTTGGCAGGCAGTGTATTTCTTTGTTTGTTTCATTTTAATTAATTGAACAGAAAAGTGAATATGTGAATTTTAAATATTTTCATTTATTAACTTGTTAACATTTTAGCATATTTATTGAGAAATATTAAAGATTTTTAAATTCACTTTAGAATATTTCAAATATGAATTTATCTGCTAAAACAAAAATATCAATTTAAACAGATGGTTAAAAATACATAAGGTTCAAGCATTTCTTCAACCTGTACACATCAGCTGCAGTTGTGAAACTAGTGCTGATTCTCAGCAGAACTTCAGGTGCGCAGTAAATGAGATAGATGTTTTGATATTGGAAATTGGTGCTCATGTCCTCGAAGTCCTCCTTTCTGTAGGCCATTAGTCCATAATCTGTATCATTAAATATTATATGTCTTATTTCATATTTCTTATTTTTCTCATATGTTTTAATATATATAAGAAGTGCGGCTCTAGAAAATCTAAAATGATGTACCTGATATCTTGCAGACCCACCGGTCGTCAATCACACAGTTGCGTGAATGAAGACGACCGTGGAACATTTTGTGCTGATGCAGGTAAGCCATTCCTCGGGCAATATCAGTAGCAAAGGACAATCTGTAGATGTTAAGTGTTCAATTCATTTATGAAGTTCCATCATTAAAGGTGTGGGAAAAAAAGCAGCGCTGTTTTATCATACTAGATACATTTAAAAGTTCTGTTATTATGCTACTCTGTGCGGTCGTCACATGTTTTTGGATATTTGAATAAAAAAATCGTACATATTGTGCCTTTAAGTTTTTAAAGAGCTTTCCAACAATGCCACAGGACAGATTTACCGAAAACCCCAATTGATGGGGATGTCCTTGTTCAACAGCACGTCCGCCAGGCTTCCCTTTGGACAGTATTCAGTGATAATGCTCACGAAAGGAACTTCAATGCAGCCTCCAATGAACTTGGAGAGGTTTGGGTGATCAAGCTCCCTGGTAAAAAGAAACAGTCACAGACTTAATTCCTTCGCCAAATATTTGCCTTGAATTACCTACTTAAGTCACAAAATCCTGGACAAGTCACTTGTCCCAGTAAAAGTACATCTGATTTCAGTGTAGTTTCATTTGCAAGAATTGTGGGTACAGTTACTCACCTAACCTCTTTGACTTCTTTTCTGATTGTTTTGGTGAGGGTAAAGTGTTTCTTCTGGATGTGTTTTACAGCTACAGTCCTTCCATCACTGTAAAAACAAAACTTAAGTTAAGATATAAGACAACACAATACAACAAATCAAGACAAGACAAGAAACAAAACGCCAAAAAAAACAAAGACAAGACAAAAACAAGACAAGAAAGAAAAACAAAAACGACAAAAAAACAAAGACAAGACAAAAACAAGACAAGAAAAACAAAGACAAAAACAAGACAAGAAAAGACAAACAAAAAAGATCAAACAAAAAGACAAGACAAATAAAGCAAGATGAGACAAAAAAGGACAAAACAAAGACAAGACAAATAAAACAAGACAAGACAAAACAAAAAAAGACAAAACAAAGGCAAGACATGAAAACAAAGACAAAAACATGAAAAGAAAAGAAATGACAAACAAAAAATATAAAACAAAGACAAAAACAAACAAACAATACAAACAAAAAAATACAAAACATAAAACAAAACAAGACCATTCGTTTGAGAAAATGCATTAGTAGAGATACCCAAGAGGCATTATCACTGGAAACACTCACTAGATGCCGGCCTGAATGAAGCGTGGTTTGAATTTGGTGTTGACTGCAGTGCAGACCGTCACATCTGTGACTCTACTCACACTGGAGTACCTCTTTACAGTCTGAAGACTTGTGGTGCTACAAAAACCTGTGTAGCACACTTTACCTGTAAGGCCCAAAAAAGGTTTCAGTATAGTTAAAGTGCTAAAATATTTAAAAAGCAAGAAGACCAATTTCATTTTGGTAAAACGTGACACATTTTTGGCACAAAACAGGATGTTCAGTGAGACAAAATATAACTGACTAGGAAACGTCATATAGAAATAATACAAACAATGATGCTGTTAATGATGTTGTTATTTAAAGAGGCAGTGGATGAGACTAAAACCTCTTACCAAACATGATATTATTGTAGTTGATGATCCAGCTCTCATCCCAAAACATTTTCTGTTTTTGGTATTGCAGCCACTGGGGGAGGGTGGAGGGGGAGAGAATAATACATTACTAAACAAAACTACTAAAGTAGCAAAAGTAGCGCAAAAGTTTTCCTGGGGGAACGAACTACTTTTTGTGAGAGAATGCAAAACTTTTAAAAGTAAATGCAAAGGGGAAATGCAAAAGTATTGAGAGCGAACGAAAATTTTCTCTAGTGAACTTTAAAGTTTCTGAAGTAAAAGCAAAGTTCCTCAAGGAAATGCAAAACTTGGGGGAATGCAAAACTTGTCAAAGTAAACAAAGTCTTAAGAGCAAATTAAAAATTTATCTTGGGAACTTAAACGTTTTCCAAGTAAAGGCAACGTTTCTCAGGGAAACGCAAATGTTTTGCAATTCAATGCAAAGTTTTTTGAGGAAATGCAAAGGTTTCGCAAGCAAAAACAACATTTCTGGGGGAGCGCAAAAGTTTTGCAAGCAAACAAAGTTTCTTGAAGAACTCAAAAGTTTTGCGAGTGAAAGAAAAGTTTCTCAGGCAGAATGCAAAGATTTTGCAAACAAATGCAGAGATTTTCGGTGAAACAACAGTTTTGCTAGTCAAATCAAAATAATTGACTAATTTCCCCTCAGCTTCTCCTCAGACCATGTCCATTTGTACATTACTTCCCTGTGAAAAAACTTGCTCATACTAGGGTTTCATTGGTGGCTGCTAGGGCATTGCTATGCATGATGCTATTGTGGTTGCTGAGATGTTAGTTGATTGCTTATTTGGTTCAAATCAAAAGTTTCTTGTCCCATTATATCATCTGCACGTTTTATCTGGGTCTCTTAACTGAGCAAATATTTGTCAAGTGTTGAACCGGCATTCTCACCACCAGCGTCAAGATAAAACCACTGCAGAACAAGGCCACAGGAAGCCCAATGGCCACTTTGATGGATGTGGGCATAGGACAAGCTCCACAGTCAGCGGGACACGTCAGACAGCTCTCCTCCAGCTCACAGGTGTCATCGCCACACACTGACGCACATGCACAGATGAAAGTGCAACATAACCTAGACAAACATCCCTAGACAAAGCTTACTTTTGTTCTCATATGACACTAATGATTTCCTGGACCAGTATTAGAATATGTCAACAATTAACCTTGCTTACTCAAACACTTTGTTTTAAAAAGGTGTATTTTGCGTAACATCTATATCCTTGATGTACCAATTGTTTGAGGACATCTTTCTCGTAAATCCCTAAAGTGTTTAACAAGTTATACTTACCCTGAGCGCTGACTACTAACACCTTGGACTCTAGTGCTGCATGCATCTGTCCCACTTTGACATGAGCAATGACCGATGTAACTCCTAAATGGACCAGCACCACCTGGGTAAAAATAATTAAATAAAGAAATATATAAAATATAATTAATAAAATAAAATATAAATCAAATGTAATACTAAAAATAAAATAAAATAAAAAAGATAATATAATTAATAAAATAAATCAAATGTAAAAAATTTAATAAAATAAAAAAATATATAGCTTGTAACCTTTGATGTCCACAGCAGTTGGCTCATCTTGCCAGCTTTGGATACCGTGTGAGTCACAATTTCACCATCGTCTGGAATCCAGGGACCACAAATCCCTCCACCTCTCTGAACAGACAAAATACAATCGTCTGACTGTTAAACGTTTAATGGGTTGTGGAGCAATCAAGGCTAATATTGACTGTCAAACATCATACTCAAATTATAATAACAGCTTACCAAACTACAATTAATGGCACCGGTTTAAGTAGAACCTGAATTAGTGCTCATCAAGGCTGGCCCACTTCCCAGTGATGAGCTTCCGCCCCTTTACTCACTTTCTCTTTCTCTCTCTCTCTCTCTCTCTCTCTCTCTCTCTATCTCTCTCTCTCTCACACACACATAAACACACATACACTTATGTAGCTAAATAAAAAGTGAGGTAGATATGTGGGGGCGTGTTAGAACGAGCCGTTTTAGGGGGGTGGGGCTGACTCTTAACTTTTATAAAGAATATCTTTAGTTTTTTTTTGAGACTTTAGTCTTTGCAACTTTACAGATCTTCTTTATGCACCAAGAGCTTGTAACACTCCAAAGAGAAAGGAAAAATTGAAATCGCATCATATGACCCCTTTAAGAAATTAATTATTTTATTCAGCAAGGATTCATTAAATAGCTCAAAAGTGACAATATTAAACATTTTAAATAGTAAATATTTTTATAATGTAACAAAAATATATATTTTAAATAAATGTTGTTGTTCTATTCATTGAAAAATCCTGAAAAACAAAAGTCACGGTTTCCACAAAAATATTAAGCAGCTCAACTGTTTTCAACATTGACAATAATAAGAAATGTTTCTTGAGCGTCAAATCAGAATATTAGCATGATTTCTGAAGGATCATGTGACTGAAGACTGGAGTAATGATGCTGAAAATTCAGCTTTGCATCACAAGAATAAATTACATTTTAAAATATATTCAACAGAAAACAGATATTTTAAATTGTAATAATATTTTATCATTTTACTGCCTTTACTGTAATTTATCTAATACCTTGGTGAGCACAAGAGACCTCTTTTTTTATTTGGATATTTAATTATTTTTTATTACATTTTTATTTAAGTAATAATTAAAATATTTATATATATATATAATTATATTATTTAATTTAAATTTATTATATTATTTTAAATGTTTCTTCAAGTAATAATGGATTTAATTACATTTTTATTTTTAATGTTTTATTAAATTTTTATTGAAATAATAATGAATTTATTACGTTCAGTATATTACTTGATTTAATTTTAATATATTTTTAGTAATAATGGATTTAATTAAATTCATATTATTTCATTTCATTTAAATCTAATTGTAATTATTACAAGCTACATCTAATCCTATTCCTAAAAGGGAGTTTTTATTATTTTTTTGTAACCATGTTTTGATAAGATGATTAATATTTAGCTGATGTCATTTCAGCAAATTTGTCCCCAAAGCATAAGTAGTTTAGAAACACTCAAACTCGCACACATGCTCATGCAACCACCACAGGGCATTTACAATGATAATGGTCTACACTGTCATATCGCACGCAGTCTCTGATGTCGAGCCAAATTGTACCACATTTAGCCTAGTTTTTATTTCAAATATTTCAGCAGCAATGTGACTAAATCCAAGAGCACTTTCTGTAGGCTTCACACCGACCATAACAGCACTGACCATGAGCGCAAGAGGACAGGAGTGAATGTTGGCGTGGTAAACGCAGCAGTTGTCTTCATTGGCGTTGTTCCAGTTTGCGGGACATTCGTGCTCGAGGCAGAATCTTTTGGCCTCTGAGGCATTACTGTGAGAGAAAGTGAAGCATATATTATAACCGATAGTATGTGAAGCCAACATTTCATTCATTGTGAACATGATATCACATTCAAGAAAAGCTCATGGGCTATGTTGAACATTCAATGAAGTAAAAAGAGTTTTCTACACATAATAAAGCACATTTGAGAAGGCCGGCATTGTGCGTGGTGCTCACCTGAGCTGGAAAATCTTGTTTTTAACGACGTATTCATAAAAGGAGTCAGAGGCAGTGACCGAATAGGTAACGTTGAACTCCTCCCCATCTGTGACCTTTTCTGGTGGACGTTGAACCCAAGCCATTTCTAAGCCTGTGAAAACATACAAGTGGGTGTGAAGCATTTAAGGAAGCCTAAAAGAGAAATCTCCAAGTGATCTACCAAAGCAAATGTGTATCTTCTTAAAGGAAATGTCCCCGTGACGGTACACACTCAGTTTGAATCAACTGTTAAATAAGCGACACTTATTTTGTTGGCCTGCTGATTAGGAAACTTCCTTTAAATTGATGGTTTGTGCATTTAAGGCCTCGTCTCCAGTTCTTAAAGAGAGAGTTCACCAAAAAATGTTGCCATTATTTATTCTCCATCAGATTCAAGAACGAATCATTTAGGTCAGTTTTGTGAACTGAATCAAAGATTCACTGAAAAGAATCAAAAGAACGGTTTGTTCATGAATTGAACCATTTTTTAAATATACATACTGGTTTAGATCGACATGAGTATGATAGAAATGATTTAATTTTAGGGTGAAGTGTCCCTTTAAGGAATTGGCAACAACAATGAAAGCTATTGAATGTTAAAAAAGCAGCTCTTACCGCCACAGCTAATCATGTTGTAATCATTTGGTTCTTTTATGGGCCAGCAGTCATATTCAGTGTTGTCCAGGTCATGCCAACCTTCAGCAGTCAGAATCTGAAAGCATTTCAGTTTCATTCTTATTCGGCATTGGTGTTTTTATCCAAGATAACATATGCTAACTCTAAAGAATGTTTACCAGTCTTACTTCCTGAATCACCTTAATCTGAAATCAAGTAGAATAGTTTTGACCTGTAATATTGCTAAATTTGATCCACAGCAGTTAGTAATAGAGTTGGCATGTTAGCAAATAAAAAAAAAATTAAATAAAAAAAACTTTAAATAATTATTTAATTGCTTTAAACAAGTGCTAATATACATCCTGGGATATTAAATAAAATAAAATAATTATTTAATTGCTTTAAACAAGTGCTAATTTGTATCACGTGCATGCTGGGAAAACTAAACTAAACTAAATTATTTAATTGCTTTAAACAACCATGTTAAAATAAAATAAAACATAAAATAAAATATAAAATAAAATAAATAAAAATGAAACTACATGAAATTTAATTAAATTAAAAAAGCAAATAAATAATTATTTTAACAAGTGTTAATGTGTACTATGTATATGCTTGGATATAAAATAAAATAAATTAAAACTAAATAATTATAATTATTGATAGGATATTACAAAACATAACATAGCAACATAATTATTTAATTGTTTTGAACGTGTAATATGTACCACATTCATGTTGGGAAATTAAAATAAAATAAAATAAAAATGAATTATTTAATTATTTAAAACAAGTTACATGCTGGGAAGTAAATAAATACATTGCTTTAAACACGTACCATGTACTTGAGGGTTAATATATACCATGCTATTTACATGGTACTCCAAGCTACCTCAATGAATTGCGTAGTATTAGAGAATCAGAATGAGATTCTCAGCCAGTTACTGATTACGTGCTTTTAATAGGGTATATGTCGAGAATGAGATTTATTCGCCAAATGTGCACAAACAAACACAGAATTTGTTGTAGATTAAAGGAGCTGTGGAGCATTACCATAGTAAATGTCCCATGTGCAAAAACATATATAATTCTAAATCTCCTACATCCCTCGTTTTAGTTTTTAGTTAATTCACAGGTCTGTCGTTCACTGCCTTATTCTGACCACAAGTGTTTCTGACATAAACACAAAAGCCATGGGTGACACTGTCTGATCCAGTCCATTCCCTGACAGATTTTTGGCAGTGAAGCTGATTCCACCATCACTGTAAAACATTGTATCTTTAACAACAAAACACCATCAGCTTTTTAAACCTGTCAAAGTGATCAAATAAATCCCCTGCATCGTGAGAATATTGATTAACCCCAAATAAAGTCATAAAATCATGCACTTACCACAAGGAAAAGTACAGCACAGGTTTCCCACAGACTCATATTGTCTTGCTTGTAGATTTGGATTCACAGTGCAGACTGACTTGGTAAGAAGGGGTTGCCTCTTGTCCTCTATTTTGTCTTTCTTTCTTTCCTTGTGGCCTCAATAGCCCGGTAATTATTCAATCAGTCGGAGAGCTGCCGCTAATCATAAACACAGTGGCTTTCTGCCCCTTCACTCTCCCAAGGAGATCCAACTCACCTTCAGCCTCCACTTGTAGTCTATGTTGTCAGCACATTTGCAAAACCCAATAAAAAACATCTTATTTGAAATACAGTCTGACACTGCCATATGAGATATTTGATTGTACTCAGTGTGAACATCAGCTGGTGGGAGACAAATTTTATTCTTTACAAACAATAAACAGGGGCCACATTTGCTCCAGTCTGTTTTTTTTTTTTCTCCATTTTTTTATACATTTAAATTATAGTGCAGTCATAAAACCAAGCAAAAGTATTTACACAGCATTTGTGAGTGTTAATGGAAAGAAGGGCAGAGTTTATGGATGAGCAACAATAATAGTATTGTTCAAAAGTCTGGGGTCAGTTTTATTTTATTTATTTTTTTTCTGCAAGAATGCATTACATTGATCAAAAGGTATATAAGGACCTTTATAATTTTATTTAAAATATAATGTGATATACCTGTATATATACAGGTGCATCGCAATAAATTAGAATGTCGTGGAAAAGTTCATTTATTTCAGTAATTCAACTCAAATTGTGAAACTTGTGTATTAAATAAATTCAATGCACACAGACTGAAGTAGTCTTTGGTTCTTTTAATTGTGATGATTTTGGCTCACATTTAACAAAAACCCACCAACTCACTATCTCAACACATTAGAATACTGCATAAGATGAATAAAAAAACAT